CACGCCCCTGGGGATGTTTGAACGCCCATATCCCTTCTAACTCGGCTCCTGGGCCACGTAGCAACACGCGGTAGGCGGCGTTTGAAAGAGTGTCAAACATAATGACCAAATTACCCCAGTCACTTTTAAGGTCAGGTCAGATGTCAGATCATCAGAGCCCATCAAAGGCCAAATCCCGATAATATTTAGGTCCAGTTTCGACAATTTTTGAAGAACTGGCGCATAACTCGGAAACGAATAGAGCTAGAGCGCCCCAGAAAAGCTAATTGGATAGCACTGTTACTGCTCTTTCTGGAAAATTCGCTCAGATTGGACCTAAGATCAACGGTTTAGCCTCCAGGGGAAACTGCCATAATATATACCAGTAAAACGCCCTTCAGGCGAAGAACGAGCGAGCGAGATAGTGAGCCCTGCACGTGCGGAAGGGCGAGAGGGTACTTCCAACGGGCTTGTGCAAAGCACCCTTCTAACCGGTCGCTAGCGGTGTACCAAATTTGAACGCAATCGGCCCGGCCGTTCCTGAGATCTGGAAGCGGCATCCTGCACGTGCGCACGTGCTAACGGGGTCCAAAATGACTTTTGCACGGCACCCTACTAACCGGTCCCCGACTCCCCAACCGTGTACCAAATTTGAGCGCAATCGGACCAGCCGTTCTCGATATCTGGAAACGCCCCCTGCACGTGCGCACGTGCAGTAGCACCCTAACCGCAACACATGGGAATGCATTGCCTGGTGGGTGCCTATACCTGTATGCCAAGTTTCAGCGAAATCGCCCCAGTAATTACCGAGTTATTGAAATGGGAACAAATTTGGCACCTCTTCTTTTTGTATTTTGCACGTGCAGTGGGGGTCACTCACATAGATCAAGAGTATCCGACCTTTGGTAGAAGGGATGCAGCTACCCTATACAAATTACCGCAAGACAATCGCTCAAGCCGCTGCTGAGATATGGGCCTCTCAAAATCACTACTTTTGCAAAACTGCTTGAACACCCTTGACTTTTCACGTGGCACGTGCCACGACGGTCACTGAGATGTATCAGAAGTAGTCAATTACGGGGTAGAAGGGATGGGGCTACCCAGCAAAAAAGACCGCAGGCCAATCGGTCCAGCGGTTGCTGAGATATAAGCCTCTCAAAAGCGTTACAGGCCGGGCCGGGCCGGGCCGCTCATACTGAGATTTTTCCGTTATATTGAAAAGACTTCGCTTCGCTCGCTGCGCTCGCTAGCGCTCGTAACTATTTTTACGGGAACGGATTTTCTGCGATAACTTTTGAATCAAACCTTGTGCGGTCTTACTTTTACCGGCATCGTGTTCCTCTCGCGAAGACGCGTCGAATGAGTTATAATTTGATCTTAAAAAGTGAGCTTACAACTTTGACATTTGGTCAAGTCATGACCTGACCGGAAAAGGTCGTGTTGCAAATCAGTCGATCCGTATCGTAAAGCTGAACACATCTAAGGTGTTTCTATTGCTCTAGAATGCCTCCAGCAGAAGTTATTAGCGAATTGCTGCAAACTATTGCATATCTTTCGTGACCTGAGATGATCTCAGGGACATAAGGAGGGGTCACGGGTGCTATTTTCCGGTTCACTGTGTGCTATTTAGGTTGTAACTCGATATTGTTAAGAGTGACGTTTCTTATAAATTTAGCACGAATGTTTGAAAGGGCGGATTGACGGGAGCTGGACCTACGCTAAGCAGAGCTTGTTGCGTAGAGCCCGACCCCTACCGTCCGATCGCGTAATTCCGGGTAACAGGAGAATTTAGTTTAACCTTTAACGATGCCAATGTTTTACGTGCCCTTCGAAGCCGGACACGGCCTGTCCCACTCCTGACTTTGAATGGCTGCGGCTGCTCCCACCAACCTTAGGCCATCCCCGTCAGGAGTCTCAAATATCGAGCGCCGGAGCGACTCAAACCCGGGCTCTCACTACCGGGAGTCCACTGCTTTACCAACTGAGCTACCGGACAGGAGGTTTGCCCAAAAAAGGTGCCTTTCAATTTTCTCTTATTGACTTATAGTGGAGAGGTCGCAAAAATGACCTAGCCCTAGGTCATCGATATAAAAATCATGTGACTAACATTTTGTACATAGGTACTGTTACCCTTATTAACTGCTGAAAGTTTCAAAGCGATCCGTCACTCGGTTTAGCTATGGCAAACATTGGAACTGTTTTTAGGTTATGTCACTTGACGTACAGCTTAGTGACTTGGTGACCTTGAGAGACCTTGGTCTGACATTTTCGGAACATATGCAAAAAATAGGTATAAAATGGCGGCTAGGCACGTCGCCGTTTTTTACGCGGAACGCTCCACAGCAATGAGGCTCCCAACAAATGACAAAACTGTGGATTGCTTAGGTAATTTCGAATATAGGGTGGTGGGCGTCTTACCCGACTGGGCATCTTGCCCCGTGTTACCCCACACCATGGCCATTGGCCACACTGCATATGCTTTGCATGCATTCAGTTCAGAGGGTTCAATCTAATATCAGCATATCGACCCAAAATAACAGCAGCCAGTGGTCAGCTCCTTCCTTCGGAATGGCCGTCACGGAAAGAAGCCCTGCTTTTCGTCCATATAGGCATCGACGCCGTATTAGATTTGCTAATCGCTGCATGCTTTGGGAGGGGCAAAAAGATAGTCTTGCCCACACGATTTGGCTTTGGGGAGGGCAAATGCCCATTTTGCCCTCCCCTGGATCCGCCACTGTTGGTGTGTCTAATTTTAATTTTCATGCTTTATTGAACGGTAACCAGTAACCACACAAGAAACACGATGCTTGTACCTATCTCTGGGCTATATCACTACGTCTATCAGATGTATCCAGTGACTTCGAGCTCGATTTTTTTGCGAAGCTCTAGCTCAATTAGCAGGTAGAAGAAATACTGTTGGTATGATTGCACGCATTGGTACGAGATCAGCCCGATTTGGCGGTGATTAAACATGATTCAACCAATTTTCACATCCCAGAAGTAATGAGGCGCTCAGAAATAAGGAAGAGGTGTCCATTGTCTATCCAAGGCACATAACAAGGCGTTGGGACTTGTTATGTGCGGTAACATAAGCCGTCCGCATCTTCGGGCATCATTATTTTTATCGTTTCCATTTGTCGCAACACAACGTCTTTTGCTCAACATTCGTGAAATGTGTTGCGCATGGCATGGCATAGGTAGGTATAGGTAGGTATGGCGTGCATGTTCAATGCATACGACAAAGGTATGTATGAGGTAAAAAAAAAGCTGGAAACAAAAATGATGACGCGATTAGACATTCTTATCACATTCTTTTCCCGTAATGAAGGTCAGTTGCAAGACTGCCACCAAAACCTGGAAGAGATCAGTCAGGCCATGGATCAGATTGGAGGTACCGCGTGACCCAGAATTAGATACCCCGCACCCCACTGGGGGGGGGGGGCTATTCATAGCCCCCCTCCCGTTTTTCTGCAATAACTTCCAAACCGCTTGACGTATCAACGCCAAACTTTCAGTGCCTTCGGCTGCATCAATTTGACACCTTGTGTCAAAATATGAACTTCGTAGGTACCATAGGTCGGCCGGAAATAACGTCAGAGTGACGTCATGTTCGGCCGATTTCGACGCAAAACATTGAACCACGGCAATCGCTCCCAAGAGCTCAGTTTTTAAGCTAGATCCAATTTCTTTGCATGAGAGGACTCAAAATAGATCTCGCTATCAAACTGCTATCTCGGATTTTCAAAATTGTGAAAATTTCGAAAATTTAATAAAAATAAATTTCGGAATTTATATTTTAATATTTTTTTTTTTCAAAACGTTTTTGACTTTTCGAAAAAAATCGGAATATATGTGATAGAACGCATGCTTATGACTAACTCAATTAAGTTTTAGCTAAATATCTTAAAAAATGGCCAAGTTATACGCATTATTGCAAAAAATTCACAATTATTAATTTTTCAAATCAATTTTTCAGTACGTATTTGACATCGTACACCAATGTAAATAGCACCGTCGTGTTCCTGAGCTCAAACTGCATCCAATAGATACCTTTGTTGTTGAAAAATTTTAACTTTAAAATTTGACCTTTTTTGACCTGAAAGTGACCTGAAAGTGACTGACCTAAGCAAAACTCGACTCAAAATGACCTCGAATGACATAGACGACATCAAATTCGAAATCTATGGCCTAAATGGACCATAAAACATGTGTCACGTGACCGACGCATGATATAATATTTCCGTGACCTGTGATGACCTGACCCTGACCTGAAAATCAAAGTATAAGTTTGGTACCCTCAGGGTATCTAGACCATCTGTTCACGAGTGTGTATACCAAAAATGAGCCTGATCTGATTTGTAAGACGGCGGCCAGAGCCCAAAATGTGAACAAACCAAAATGCTAATAATTTTTACGTTGACCTGACCTGTGACGTCATCGGTGACCTTGAGGTCAATGAAATTAGGTTTCGCTCGACAGTTTTTCCGGGGCTATCAGATGCCGTTTGAGTTTTGACGATCGGCCCAGTAGTTTCGGAGTTAGGAGGGGGCTATGAAGAGCCCTCCCCCCTCCCAGTAGGGCGTGTTGTACGCAGACCCCAGTGGGGCGCGGGATACGGTACACGCTCCTGCCGCAAAACCAGATTTATTTCTACCCGAGATGATCTGATCTAGAGAGTTAAGCCGGGGACCCCGGTCCCCGACCGAAGCTAAGTCATCGCAGATCGTTTATACATTGTAAGCCGCAAGGGGTTCAAAACCAAATGCCATCCAGCAGGCACGAATGACTGCCAGAGATCCACAGGGCTCCATCGCACCATCCACCACTCCCTGCGCACACTGCAGTCCATGACCTCCCCTCCGTGGGATTCGCCGTGGGATAGAGCGGCTGGTCGGGGTGCCCCGATCGTCAGCTCGTCAATGATGCAGCAGGGCGGCGTTACCCCGGCGGTGGGTCAACAAAGCGGGCGTCTGCGGGTCAGCAGTGGCCTCACTGTCTAGCGGACTGCTCAGGCGGAGAGAGAGACGGTCAGCACGTTCAGGATGATGGTGTTGCGCCGCGTGCACCTTCTCGGCGCTCTGCTTCTGCTTGCAGCACCGCCAGGTAAGAGATCGTGGATGATCCCAATTTTCAAAATTTACATGTTTTTCATTTTTTTCATTAGGGTACTCGTTCTTCGAGTTCACACACCTGCCTCCGAGGGCCGCCTCATACTGAGTGAGAGGAGCTCACAGAGGTCTGAGGGAGTTAGGAGGGTTTAGTACTCGACGAGCGTCCGACTCTGATAACCCCACAGTATCTACACGTGTCCCCCTTTGAGCTGATTCGCGCTGGGTCAGCTGCTCTAATTAATTACCAGTATAACGCCTTTTGGGGCGACTAACGGAGCGAGCGAGACGGTGGGCCTTGCACGTGCGAAATTGCGAGGGGGTACCTCCAACTGACTTATGCACTGCACCCTACTAACCGGTCTCTAGCGAGGTGTCAAATTTGAGCACAATCGGCCCAGCCGTTCTCGAGATCTGGAAGCGGCACCCTGCACGTGCGCACGGGCAAAATGGGTCCCAGCTGACTTTTGCACGGCACCCTACTAACTGGTCCCTAACCGCATACCAAATTTGAGCGCAATCGGTCCAGCCGTTCCCGAGATCTGGAATCGACCCTTGCACGTGCGCACGTGCAGCAGCAACCCAACTGTGGCACATGGATATGCATTGTCTAGTGGGTGCCTACTAGTGGTGTCAATTTCAGAAAACGTATGTCCAAAGTCCGTCCAATGTCCAATGCTTGCGTCGATTGTCCGTCCAAAAATGTCCAAGCCAGCCATTTGTCCAAAGATGTCCAACACCTACGCAATAGTTTACACTCACACTGTTATTTAATTTGCTTTTCATGTACCGTAACAAGCCAATCAATGTTAAACACGACTACTTTTTAAAAATGTTGAGGTGTAGCAAGCGATTGTCCAAAGTTGTCCAAAGCCTGCTGCCATTGTCCAACCGAATTCCGAATTGGACATTGGACAAAATCGGAATTCCGAAGATTCAAGTTCCGATTGACACCACTAGCTACCTACCTACCAACTTTCAGCGCAAACGGCCCAGTAGTTACCGAGACATTGCGACTATTACAAAACTGACACCTCTTCGTTTTGCACGTGGCACGTGTATAAGGGGTCACCCACATGCATCGGGAATAGTCCAATACTTGGTAGAAGGAATGAAGCTACCCTACAAAAATTACCGCATGTAAATCGGTCAAGTGGTTGTTGAGATATAAGCCTCGCAAAAGCGTCCGCACGGCCGGTCGGCCGGCCGGCCGCTCATACTCAGAAATTTCCGTTAACCCATTAGAGCCGAAAACTTTTTTTGTCGACTTTCACTGCGATTTTAACATATGTTTGTCAGGCACCCTTTAGGAGAAAACATGTGCATTTTTAGCCAGATCACGAAACCGGAAGTGTACGTTTCCGGTCTGGCAGCTTTTGCTGCCAAGCGTATCTTACATAGTCCAAAATGGAGTGGTTTGTCACATTTCAAAGCACAAACATATCAAAACCGCGAGGAAATGATCTTTCGATACCAACAACCTTTGCCACAGAGTGTCTCCTGTTGGTGCATGTACAATTTTCACGAACTATTTTATTTACGTACCAGATATGATCTTGAATATGTGTAATTGTTCGGATTTCCATTCGACCGTAGCCTGCAAATAACGACCGTAGCCAATAATTCTCAAGAATAATGAACTCAAAATCCAGACCTCAGCTAACAGTTCAGCTCGTTCTGAGAGATCATGTTCTTTCTCTCATTATTTCAGCTCACACGCGCTTCCCCTCCCCACAAAATCTTATATAGGATGCGACGAAGGTTTTGATGACTTCCGTCGACCGTTTATTTAAAGCAACTTGGCGTTTTTCCAATGTGCTCCTAAATATCGCGTTCCTTTCAACGAATTGTGTCCCTGAGTCTTTCTCTGAAGCGGAGATTATCTGAAAATCTGACATTTACCAATGGGGGTCACTGGAATGGGTAATTAATTAACCATTGAACGGCGCATTTACTGAACGTCTAAGCATAAAGGTTTAGCTTTACAGTTGAGAGGTTCGTAGTTGCGCTGTTGGCATGCTCCAAGCTGGCAAGTGGCAACACATGGAAGGACGCTGCCTCACACTTCTAAGCCCCCGTTTTCACCAACAAGCGCTGGTGGAAGAAGTTTGGGGACAAGTAGCGTCACGCATAAGCCCCAATCAGCATGGTCCTCCTGCGTCTCAACTCTCAACCGTCGCCAAGATCGTCATGAAGAAAGCACCTGGGAAGTCTGACCATTCTGCGGAGAATCTGAAGTCTTATACATAATGATCACTCGGATAATATTGTCCATTGATAAGGGAGGAACGCCCTTGGACTGAAGGCGCCTGACTATTGGTGCGGCCAAAATAACGAAAATCAGCAAGCCCAGAGCCCTCAGATTTGCACGAAACGGAGAATCTGGCCGGTAGAAGAGTGGAAACGGAGTAGGTATGTAGAAGCGGGTCTAGTTCGGCGACGAGTCTCCGTTTCAATGGTTTCGCCACACGGACCCCCAAAACGAGCATGGGCTGAAAACGCGGCCCAAGTTCCGACAGAGTTCTGCGAAATATTATCGCCGCAATGGTATGTCGAACGATCACGATGTCCTAGCAGGGCCTGAGCTGAACCAGCTGGACGTGATCTAGCAAAAGACGAAGTCGATCCCGACTACTACCTAGAAAACATACTGGAAAAGCGTGCATTTGGCATTAAAAGACCACTACCCCGTGCTCCAACGGCGCATGGTGTCCCGCAGGTCGGACAGCATTTTCATGCTGGACGGTACTCTATCTCATCGATCTTCCGGAACTAGGCGGTGCCAGGACCACCTGTCCGATATCTGGGGGAAGGACACTTGGCTATGGAACAGTCCTGGCCTAAACCCAATCGAATTATTTTGGAGGATATTGCAGCATAAGCTGGACATATACAAACTTTCCGGCGACCCCGAACCGCTCGGAAGGACGCTGAAGTCCCAGGCGCCCCTTTTTCACATGGAGGACGTCCCTTTAAGCTTTAGAGGCACCCCTCTTTCCCATGTAAACGCCCATTTGGTCATCAAATGCGCCCCTATAGGTCTCAGAGGCGCCCCTCTTTCTTGTGCAATGCGCCTCTTTTTCATATGCAATGCGCCCCTCTTTCGCACAAAGGTGCCCTATGGACATTACATGCACCCCTTTAGACCTTACAGGTGTCCCTCTTTCTCGTAGAGGCGCCCCATTGGGCTTCATAGGCGCCCCTCTTCGGCATGCAGGCGCCCCTCTTTCGTGCAGATGCGCCATTATGGTCATGACCTTCGTAGGCGCCCCTCTTTTGCATGGGAGGCGGGAGCGGGGCGGGGGCGACCCCATAGTTAGGCCTCAAAGGCGCCCCATCAAGCCTAGCAGGCACCCCTCTTCCCGTTCATCTATAGAGTCACGGCACCACCTTCCCTTAGGCGACGGCGCGCCCCTTGAGGGATGGCGCCTCTGATGACAGTTTGTTCGGCACCACTCCGTTCAACGTCCCTGCTTCAGCAATGGCGGAATACATTACACGCCTGGTAGTGTGTTGGTATGCAATGCTCTGCAGACAAGAATAAATAGCAGAAACCCCGGTAATGACCATTTTTGGAAAAGCAAAGAACTGGGGCATTACACTATGAGCCATAAAGCCAGACATTGTTGCTCACTTACGAATGACATAGCAAAAAGGACGTAACTGCTCCATTTTTGACTACGTAAGATACGGCTGGCAGCTTTTGCTGCCACTTAAATATAACGCACGATTGGCGATACTTAGAGAAATTCATGTCGCACCTAAGCTCTTCCCATTGATAATCACACATTTCTTTACAATAATCAATAATAAAAAGGTAACATTTATTCACACCACCTTCGCAACTGACTTCTTTGGTGTCCGCCGCACGGCCGCCATCGCGCGCCCCTTGCACCCGCGCGATAAATTGTTTATTTCTCAGCACATTCGCTTTCTAGATCAATAATTCGGAGCGCACATGACGTGCATTGTTTTCGTCTTCCGTTCGGGTGAGAACTTTGAAAGTTCACCGCAACGTTTAGGAATGCGGCGCTATTTTGTCCTGTGGCAGCAAAAGCTGCCAAGCGTATCTAATGGGTTAATCTAAGGAAAGACTACGCTCGCTTCGCTCGCTCCGTAATAATGTAATGCATACCGTTATCAACGAGCACGATATAAGCGCACCGCGCCGGTCGAACACGAGCTTAAAATATTTCATCTAACAAAAAAGGGCATGAGTTTAAAGGAAAAGTGCCACCTTCTTGAAATATGAAGATATCGTTGGTTTTTATTTTGACATTATTATTTTCCATTTTCTTTTCAAAACCGGTGCCAGAAGTGCATAATTCGCTAAAAAGTATTTCAAACTATTTAACATATTGGTACTATGTTTATACTCTCTACCGCAGCTACTGTATGATGTCATAGCAATGACGTCACACTCAAGCCAATCAGCCTTGAGGAGGATAGACTCGTCGGACTGTAGCGGTTGTAAACAACTTGTCGCCCCGTGTGTCTGCCCGTGGCGCTAGTTATCTGTCGAAGGTAAGGGTGAAAGATGGATATAATGGCCATGGAACGCTATTTTAGGATTATTGGTGAATAGCAAGAATATAGTTTTGGTGGTTTGAAATTGTTTGTCCTCAGTGATTGGCTTGATTCTCATTTTGCGGCATAAGCGGCTGTTTGGTTACATTGCATTTTTTATGATTGTGTAATTATTATGATTATGTTCCTCCAAAGTAGGCATCACATATCAATCTCAAAGGCAGATCATCTTCTTTTCATGCCTATAATTTTCTTCAAGAATATTAATAAAAAATATTCCATTTACCCCTGCCTATCATATATCCCATGGAGCTGCCGGTGGAAGTAGGCATGCAATGTGACCTAGCATTGGCGATGTGGTTAATTAGCTTTAAAGTACTATGGAATGCTAAAGGTCATCATTTAGAATGGTTTTCAAAACATTCCACTAGGAAATATTCATTGAAACCTGAAAATTACTTACAAAATGTAAATGTACAGCCACGTCTCAAGAGCATTCAGCCGTCTTCTCAGTAAATATATAATGAAACATAATCTTACCTGACCTAGCCTTACCTACAACCTACAACGTACGGCATTGGTAAAGCTGGCATCACTGTCAGCGTATATTAGTTTGGTAGGTTGTGGGTAGGTAGGTTGCAGGTCAGTAGGTAAGGTTAGGTTAGGTTAGATTGTTTTTAAGATTCCTTTTATCTACACATTTACCGGTTAGCGCTGACGGTGACACCAGCTTTACCGATACCCAACCTACCACCTACAACCTACAACCTAAAACCTACATTCAATGGTGGCGGGTGGTGATAATTGTTATACCTATATGATAATACTGGAGATAAATACCATACAGATTAGCTGGTATCCATGACACACTTTCTTAAGAAGAAGGTCTTCTATTAAATCATGTCTATTTTATAGGAATGAAATGATTTTTGTTGTAGTCACATTCCCTACTCTGACCATCATGTCTGATTATTTCCAGTTACCACTGACAATGCCCAAAACAAGAACAACAAAGGCCCAAAGGTGGCTGTTTGGTAGTGCGCAAAGCTGCTGGTAAGTGGCATCAAAGGATAGGATGTTGTTGTTGTTATTGGTTTGGGCGCGTAGCAACTTGGCTCTTGCGTCCAACATCAAAGGATAGGATGTGCTTTGTTATTTCCAGGCACGTAGCCAGGATTTTGCTCAGGGGGGGGGGGTCACAGGTTGTGGCCTAGTGTTGTACCCCCTCCAAAAAAGGAAAATTTCTCTGATTAGGCCCACTATTTTGGGGGTGTGTCACAGCTGTTTTTATTTAAAAAAAAAAAATCGCCCTCACCGAGGGGGGAAGGGGCACGAGGGCATGGCTCCCGTGCCCCTCCCCCCTCCTTGGTTACGTCCTTGGTTATTTCTGAGAGTTTGGATATCACAAAGCTTTAGATATAAATTAGAATGTAATAAGAAGCTTTCAGCATTGCACCTTTCCAGACACTGATAATTCATTTGCCTTTATTGTTTCAAAAGTCAATTTTCAACACAAAAAAAGTTGAAATTATTAACTCAAATAATTGCAAATATATACTTTGGTAATTTGCCTTTCGCATCACTATCAACAAAATAATCAAGGGTGACTAAATATGAAATGTTCCTGCATGATTTTCATCGTGAACAATTGTCAAGGTATGATGTTCGCGTGTTGAAATGTTATAAAGAACTTATGTCATAAAAACACAACTTGTAAAATTGTGTCTTTCCATATTATTCTGCAAGTAAGCCTTGGAAGGAAGAGACACTATTCCGTCCTACAGAAGCCATTTAGAAATGTGTGACATGTTCAGCACTTTGAGTCAGTCGGTGCCCGGACCTCAGTCGGCTGTATGACCGTCTCCTCGTCCTCTTTTGTCGGCTCCGCCCCGTGCTGTTCTATAAGGGTGTCTGACCCGCTGCCGCTATCCCCACTGTGAGGTCTGACCCGCCGCGCGCTGTCACCACTGTCGGCCCTCTGTGTGCGCGGCAGGTGGTGGTGGACGTCTCTGCCCTGACGCGCGGCGTGCGTCTGCTCAGTGTGGAGGTGCCGCTGACAGCGGTGCCGGCCGGACCGGCTGCCTCTCCGGCGGCCGACATTGAGCGCGGCACGTGTCCGCCGCCGTTCGGGCCGCTGCAGCTGCTGCAGTCGGCGGCGCAGCTGTCCGTCTCCGTGTCGCTGGCCGTGCCGCTGGACCTGCTGCCGCGGCCGGCGCCGGCGCGCTGCGCCTACGGCCGCCTGCTGGCCGTCGTTTCGCAGCGCGGCCTGCAGCGCAGCGGCGTGCTGCAGCTCATCCAGCAGCTCAACGAGCCGCCCAGCCCGGCGGCGGCCGAGGGCGCCGCGCCGCGCCGGCCCGGCGACGTCAGCACACCTGGCATCAGCGGCTTCTGCCTGGCCGACCGTCAGCTGCACCTGCTGTTCGCCGAGGGGCGCGCCGACGCCGAGCTGGAACAGACGGCGGCCGCGCCGCGCGCTCTGCCGCGCCGCGACGCTCGACTCTGCCACCACTCGGGCCTACTGAGTGTTTAGGGAGCGCCTGTACCCGCGCCAGCCGGCCGCGTTCCGCGTGCTCGAGGACCGCCCGCTACGCGCCCAGCTGCTCGACACCCGCCTCTACACGTTACAGAAACAGGAGCCGGCGCGCGCCGTCCGCGCCATCAGAGAGTGCTTCCGCACGCAGTGGCTGTCGGAAAATGAACCTGCTTCCCAACGAGGCCGGCCTGCAACAACTGCTGGCCGGCTGTTGGCCGAAAAAAAAAACGCCTTCAACCGGATGTCAGTTGTCAAATCAACGCGTATTAATGCATTCACTAGGATGGGCTTACGTAAAGCTGTAGAATTGCAAATATATAATGGCACTGTTTTTGATCCGTTCGGTATGCATTGGTATCATATGATCTCTCATTCACAGACGATCAGCTGCGAAGACTCCGTAGTAGAGGGCTCATCGAGTCCGGGTCCAGCTCCCCGTACTTCCTCCACTTTGGAAACACCGCAGCGCAGATCACAGTTATACATAATATTTAGTTTTCATTCACTTCATAACCGAAGGTTGTTTGATAGGTGATATGCTGCTTGAGTTGCACCCCGGTATATCAATACGAAGCTTCCGTCCCTGCCACATACCAGTGAAGGAGGCGGCGGCGGCGGCGGCCGGGGCCGGGCTGCCCTGCCCACCGACACAGTCTGTGAAATGCCCCAACAACCTTTAAAATTCAACAGGCTTCATAAATGTTTTTTGCACCATATTTTCTCGCGTATATGAAAGCTCTAAAATGTACAATATTCCTTTCAGCCACAAGCGATATAAAAGCTCTACAAAACGTCATGTCTCTGTGTGCAAGAAAGACACATATATTGTGTATAATCGAGCGTACATGATCTGCAGCGCTGCGGAGGGCTGCTCGGTTGCCGCTTTTTACCAGTCGGCTCTAGGTCGGACATATGGGTAAACAAAATGGAATAGTAATATTAAACAATGCTACCTGCTGATGCTACTGGGCCTCTCATTGGTGAAGAACTGGCAGCCAGCCAGCGTGTTTTTGTGAGAACTGTTTTAACAGCAGCAACCGAACGGCTCTCGGGCCAGCGACCAGTGAGCGTAGACAGCACAGCGCTCCGTTAGGCATCGGCGGGCAAGCACGCATTAGCTGTGGACGGACCGGCCGCCCGAACATATTTGTCGGTATCGAAAGTATCGTGACTGCTAGCGAAAAAAGGACTGCCTCTCGTATCCATGAAAACATGTGTTCTACAAAAGTACATAATTGCTTAGTTGTCGCCAGTCACTCATTGCACCATGGCGTCAGTGTGGGGCCGCGCCCCGAATCATCTCAATCGCCAGGCAAAGCATCTCAATCGACAGGCACATGGTAGTCCAGCTACGAATCCGAGCCGCGGCATCCCGTCTATGTATCTACATTACACCACAATCGAACACTGTCGGGCCACCCGAGACAGCAGTCTCCAATGTAACATCAAAACCCGCCACTCGTCTAATATCAGAAAAATGAGCATTGAGTACCTACCGAATATCGACTACAGAAGATTACAATGGGGTGCAGATCTAGCAAGAGTGTCGCGGTTCGTCTCGGCACGGCTTACAGGCCGCCGAGCCCGCGCAGGTGACCGCCAGCTCCACCTGTTCCACCTCATCCCAGATGCGCGCCACGGCGTCATTGGGGCTTCCCTGAGCAGGATCGAACCAGAGCTGCATGCACGGCTCCGTATCCGCCGTGAACTTCCACGAGTGATCCCACACCTGAAAAAGGCGCACGGTTTGCGTCACAGCTCGGCTCACTTTCACAGTCCACGCACCGGCAGCAATTAAGGGCTACTTAGATAGTGTGCTAATAGAGCGCAATCACTTAGCTCAATCCATATAGTCAACCATGAATTGTTAATTACGAGCGAGCGAGCGAAGCGAAGTCTTTTCAATATCACGGAAAAAGCTCAGTATGAGCGGCCCGACCCGGCCCGGCCTGTAACGCTTTTGAGAGGCTTATATCTCAGCAACCGCTGGACCGATTGGCCTGCGGTCTTTTTTTTTTGTTGGCTAGCCCTATTCCCTCTACCTCGTAATTGACTACTCTTGATACATTACAGGGACCGTCGTGGCACGTGCCACGTGAAAAGTCAAGGGTGTTATTTGTCAAAAGTTGCAAAAGAAGTGATTTTGAGAGGCTCATCTCAGCAGCCGCTTGGGCGGTCTTGCGGTAAATTTTGTAGGGTAGCTGCACCCCTTCAACCAAAGGTCGGATGCTCTTGATCTATGTGAGTGACCCCCACTGCACGTGCAAAATGCAAAAAGAAGAGGTGCCGAATTTGTTCCCATTTCAATAACTCTGTAATTACTGGGGCGATTTAGCTGAAACTTGGCATACAGGTAGGCAGTAGGCACCCACCAGGCAATGCATTCCCATATGTTGCGGTTAGGGTGCTACTGCTTAGTGTATTATGTGTAAAATAAAGGACGCTTGAATCTTACCTGAGTGATGTCCATTTCTTGATCACTTTCATCTGTGGGTGACCGAGCAGCGACAGCAACCCAAGGCGTATACGGAATCTGTAAAAAATCAGCACACCGTTACCACATGTTTTAATAAAACTTACCTATAGGGAGGTAGCATAAAATACAGATCAAAACAATAACATACAAACATACAGATATTCGGTTAGGTTGAAATGGCTAAAAATATAAAAAATAAGGGCAAAGTACTAGGGCTGTAAAGCTGTAAGAGCTCGGTACTAGTAATAATTTTTGGCTAAAAATATCACAAATAAAGACTCTGCACTAAAAGCTGTAATGTCTGGTACTAGGAATAACTTTAGAGTGAAGTGTTACAAAAACAATATTCAAAGTCTTTTGATAACTTTGCAGGCATTTTCATCACTTTTAAAAAATAACTTACATTCTGATCCGGCACAGCACTGTTCTTTAGACGCAAACGTTTTTGACTGTGCTTATCATGGTGCGCACTTCTTGTTAAGTTTAAGTGGTCATGTGGTCTTGGCTCATTGGTCATGCCACACACCCTCATCCACTTTTCTCTGTACTTCTTTTTTTAGCGGGAACCTAAAAGTAAAAAAGGGTCAACACATGCTTAGTCCATGCAACACATACTCTGTGTATTAAGCCGGAATAGCTCCACTGAGCCCAGTTTCACCAAGTGCGGTAAACTTTATTTTGGGGTAGTTTTTGTAGTTACAGGGTGGGGCAGAAAGATTTACCTCTTGATTTCTTAAAATATTTCGGTCCCGAACAAAGATATTCAATTGATTTTTAGTACACGTATTCAGTAGCATGTACACATCTCAGCAACGGTAATATTGACCAATATGGCCACCTTTCGTCTTCACCCCTGCCCCGAAACTTCAACCTGCGGAGTGGCACGAGCGCCGCACGGTGCCCTCGTCGAAAATCGACCATGCCGTGTCGAGGGCCAGCTTCAGAGCAGCGATGCTGCTGTGTGGTGTTGCACACATCTCGCTCTCCAGGATGGCCCAGGTGGTGAAGTCCATCGGGCTCAGGTCTGGACTTGATGATGGCCACATGTTCTTGTCCCAGAACCCAGGCATGTGGGTCTTGCACCACTGTTGAGTGAAGCTGGCCGTGTGAGGCGACGCAACGTCCTGGGCGACGACGTATCCGTCTCGGAACGACTGAGTGACCCAAGGCAAAGCATGTTCCTCCAGCAGATGGACGTAAACGTGTGAGTTGACTTTCACACCCGCCTCGATGAAGATCAAGGGTCCTTTTGAGTCGTCGGATGCGACGGCAGCTCAAACCATAACACCAGCAGGGTTGTGGCGACCAAAACTGGTCCGGATAGCAGGATCAATACTGGATGTACCATCTGCCAAGATTATGTCGCTTTGGGAGTTCATCTGGGGCTTAACCGTGGGAATCTCTTCATTGGATCAGAGGAAGACCTTGTTACCGGCGCTTCTGATTTCCTCCAATATCTTTTGGGCCCTGTGTAGCCGCTTTTCCTTGGATGCCGCCGAAATCAGGTGTCGACCTTGCATCTTGTATTACTTAATGCCCAAATCGTCGTTTATGATTCTCCTGAGTCCTGACCATTTTGGGCGAAAAATCAAGGTCCCTTGCCAGTTTGCGCATGCTTCGCCTAGGATTTCGAAACACCATCTTGTGCACGATATCAACCAGCTTTTTGGTGCGGACATGCCTTGTTCTGCCTGCCATGGACTTCATCGACACTGTACCTGTCTCTTCCAGGCATTTCATTATTTTGTTAGCAGTTTTTATGGCAACACCGAGCTGTTTGGGAACGCTTCGGACGCTGTGGCCAGCCTGCATCGGCACCGCAATTTGGGCTCTTTTTGTAATCTCCGCCATAGCTCATCAACAACCATGATAAAATTAAAAACGATCGTAACGGTTATACACGAGTCAGTTGGGAAGCCGCATGCAAAATTTCACTAAAATCCGTCCATAAATTTTTGAGTTATGGGCTGAAAACAAACAGGTAAATCTTTCTGCCCCACCCTGTAAGTAGTGGGGTAGTTTGGTAGTTTACCCCAAATTGAGTTTACCGCACTTGGTGAAACTGGGCTCTGGTGAGTTTCCTTTTCTTGTCAGCACATAAGTGAAAGAAAACTGTGTAGACAAGAGATGAACCAAACCCCCATGGAAAGGTAGGTGTTACCACAACCAGGAAATGGGATTTGAAGGGCTGGATAAATGTGTCTGAGTTCTGCCTTTCAGCCAGACTGTAAAACATCCATACACTACGCCGGATGCCCGTGAGCCCCTCATGCGCCAAAATTTGAAGCAAGCAATTTTGAGCTGAAATTCCAGTGCATGATTTCCACTGAAAGTTGGGTGCCTGTTTGCACCAAAATTAAGCCACTTTTACATAAAGCACATGTGCATATCTACCGACCAAGGCTATATCAACCAGACAGATCGTTCCGGGGTCTCGGAGTCAGACGCTCTTCCCTTTCTGAGCGTCTGAATTAGTTAATGTTCCCATGAAAACCCAATACCACAATTTGTGTGGCACACTGTAGAATCTTAAGGTGAAACAAGTCCCAGGCCGGAAGTTCCGACTCTCTTCAGACCTGCCAGCGCCCGCAGGGCAAGTCTGCTGCTAGATTGACCACAGCGTGTCAAAAAATTCGGTGACAGCCATTTGCATAAACATTATGCGCCATGCGGTCACCCTGCGCCTAAAAATTCAGCTGCCACCATGCGCTGAATTTGACGCATGCAAAATTATGCTGGATGTGCGATGAAATTTTCGGGGCAACGCCGCAATCACGCCACTTCGCATGACATATTCGGCATAACTTGCGTTTTTTTATCCAGTCTGGCATTTCAGTTGTGAAAGCCTGAACAGTTCAAAAGGGTTTGCTAATCCAGGGGAGAGTTCTGTGAAAACAAAAGTAATAGAAGAGCCATTGCAATAAATAAGAATTTAGGTACCTACCTAGGTACCTAGGTACTTACTTGTGCACAGTCACACGCATATCAGTCCCGACCCGACGTAGGTCGTTTGCTCCGCGGATCACGCACTTCTTCATCGTTATTATAGGTATTTGTTCGAACAAAAATGCCCTGATTTCGGATCAGAGCCACGGTATAAAATATGGTATACTGCCTTGCGTAAGATAAAAATGCATTTTAGAAATTGGCTACCAAACGAGATGTCATCTGTTCAGGGCATAGCATAGGTTTACTTTCATAGACCTCATGAAAGTAGCTCATGAAACTCATCACCAATCAGCGCGACGGATTTCAAGATTCGATTGCGGATGTTCATCCGCCGGCCGATTGCCAGAACAGACAACGAAAAATAACGCAACTGCTCGTGGTCTGCTCGCTAGTACAGGGATCCGTGCCTGATCAGTACTGCTGCAAGCTGATTGGTTAAAAACCAAAGCCTCGCCGCGGGTGGCTGTATTGTCGGATAAGAACGCATTCCTGGGATAAGAACGCATTCCTGGCATATTTTCTTTTAAAATTGCCGATAACTACGAATGGAGGCCGAAATCGGCCGTAAGGAGGTAGACAGAGAGGTTTTCGGACACGGGCTACAAGATGGCTATCTCAGTTTCAATCCCCATGTTAAAGGTGGCCCTTTTCCTTTAAGCCAAGGAATATCGATCGACACCGATTCCGACTCCGGCCATAATTGTCACTCCGGCACTCCTCAACACCGATTCCGACCTCGACTCCGTAGCCCTGGGTGATGCTTTTAATGAGAGATGCATTCGCGCACTGTAAAACGTTCGGTACCTGTACATTGCGCAATATGGTTGCATTTATATGGGTACAATACAGCCATTTGTGCAATAAATTCTCAGCAGCATTGCAAGAACATATGTGTCAGTGCGAGTAAAAATTATTCATCTGGGAAGCTTCACCAAAGGAAGAGGACAGTGATGGAAGGGAACATGCATATTGATGGAAGGGAACAGGCATGTTGATGGACGGGGCACAGTTTGTTGTGGTGATTCGACGGTATCCAGGGTTGGTTCTCACGCCGTGCGGTGCGCCACACTTGTCGGAGGTCCAGCCTGCAGCCCGGCCGGCCTCGCTGCTCACACGTGAATAGTTGAGTAGTGTACCCACCCTAGTGACGATTTCCGGTCGCTGGGGTCCGTTTTGGCGATTAATCCAAATCAACGGATCAACAACTTACTTTCTAAACTCGTATGGAGCATTGTTAACTTCATTTGGAGAACGGAAGGACAAAATGGAAACGGCAATCAGCTTTTATGCCGCTACGTAAGCTGAACGACGACTCAAGTGTCGTAGACATTTACAGGCCTTTATCGGTCGAAGGAGCACGGCTAGTGGGTGTACTGAAACAGTATACTTTCGTCTACCACCATGGCGGGAGGAGGGGAGGGGGGTGGGGGTGGGGCTTTTACTGTCCCCATCTGGGTTAGGTCATTTGGTCTCCAAGCGGAAAACGGAGATCGGAATTCGAAGACTTGTCCAAATTATCACTTGTTTTTTTTTGCTGTTTTAGTTCGAATCAAAGTTTCGGTCACAAGCGATACATGTCGCATCAATTCTCAAAAGAGTGTGATACCTGGGTTTTCATATGTAGCGATTAGTTCATTAGTTAGGATCCGATTCATCGCAAGGATTTTCGTTGAAAAGATAGGTCTTCAAGTATTTCTGGTAATCTGGTGTCTTGAACAATATCAGGACACATGTTATGACTTGAATAGGCTATCGTAAGGCTTATAGGCTTGTTGCTACGCGGACCTAGGACCCGAGTCAGCGGGGGCGCGACAAAAGCCTCCTCGCCGCCTCGATATGTTACAGTTGAGCCCAAGGTTAATAACTTATAGGTTGTACTTACATGTGTACTCGTATGTTGGGTTATGATAGGTTCGGACTTCGGTATCACCGTCATAATGCGATAAGCGTCGAGATAGCATATTGTGATGTGGTGATCTCTTTCTCCTTCTCTCCTCACTCTCTCTCTCTCTCTCTCTCTCTCTCTCTCTCTCTCTCTCTCTTTCTTTCTTCTTTCTTTCTTTCTTTCTTTCTTTCTTTCTTTCTTTCTTTCTTTCTTTCTTTCTTTCTTTCTTTCTCTCTCTCTCTCTCTCTCTCTCTCTCTCTCTCTCGCTCTCTCTCGCTATTGTCGATCTGTTGATCTCTCTTTGCCTCCTCCATGGGTATCCTCCACTCTTTCTGCATTGAATTATAAAAGGGCAATCATTCTCAATGTGAAATCCCAAGTATCCTCTTTCAGGAAAATGTCAAAACGCAACGAGCACTACAGAATCCGCATCACAACAGGAAACAACAACTTTGGCAGCGCAGCCAGAAACAACTTTGACAACGCAACCAGAAACAACTTTGACAACGCAACCAGAAACAACTTTGACAACGCAACCAGAAACAACTTTGACAACGCAACCAGAAACAACGACTTTGACTACAACATCAGCTCCAACAACGACGACAACACCCTTGGTGAGTGACCTGTACAGTTACGGGTACATAATTGCATTTACGGCGTGGACCATGTATACTTCATGCTACATCATACCTACCGTGTAAGGATTGCGTTGTACGGGAGTCAGTCGTACGACTTGATATATACCAAGACCCGTACCTATATCTAACGCCCGTATCTAATGCATTATTTCCGGAATAATTGTGATATCCGATAGAGTTTTGAAACCAGAAATGTAGAATGTTTACTGTCGAATAAAGCTTAGCCTTCCAAGATCGCCGCCTAATGTATGAATTGTAAACACGATGCTTGGCAATGCCCTTATATTTCCCCCAAAATACCACTTACCTGCATTCCAAACTGGTTTACTGTTACGTTGTTGACCGAATTGCTTCATCAAGCCAGCGAGAGGGACATGTTTTGTTGCGGAGATCGAAACCTAAAAAAGACCATGGATTATAAATATAAGCTCGAAGAATGTCATTTTTATGAAGAAGTTTAAGAAAAAGTAGTAAAATTTTCATCGGGGCATTGACTTTCCCGGTATGATTTGTCTCACTAATTTAACGATACGTGGTCTGAACAGAATAACAAGTTTTGCTCATGCTGTGTACCTTTTTCAACGTATGCCTAGACATATTGATAGATTCACAGTCCAGCATTGAGCATACACACTTCACCACGATCATATAGAAAACATATTTCAGAGAGAGAGAGAGAGAGAAGATTTAAATATTATCAAAGTCCAGCCGTTCGCTCGCTAGTTCGGCCGGGAGCACTCTCCGTTCTGGCATGAGGCCAAGCCTCGCGGCGGTCACAGGTCGGTCGGCCCAAGGTGACCTTGAACGGACAGCGTGATTGGTCACCAGCCGCTGCCGCGTGGTAATCGATATCCAAAAAGGAGACGCAACACCAAAGTAGGTACCAATTCAAGCACCGTGAACGACCGAAATGCCCAAAACCCAGCAATCAGTCAATCAATCCGTGAACACACCGGCCGACAAAGGTGCTGAAACGAAATACGCGTGCTGATCTGACCTAGCTTGACCTGCCGGCCGCAGCCCTCCGACCCTGAGGAGATGTACGCACGGATTCAGTTTGCGCTGGGTCCGACCAACATCGAGCTGACCCCAGGCCAGCCGTTTGACCTGCAGCTGAACATCAGCGTACCTCCGCTGGACCACGTGCCGCCCACCGACTTCAAGGTAACGGTGCGGCACTGCAGTTATATCTCCTGATCGTCATGTTGAGCATTCCTACCCCCTGCTGAGGTCACACAGCCTGACGCCTTTCGCTTGATCTGGGGGGTAGGTATACGTAAAGACCAAGTGGCATCTTATCCGATGACCAGCTACGCTAGTACTTTCGCACACAAACGTCGCGTTGACCGGTGTCTTGCTCCTACCGGTCCTAAATCACTGTATCCGTGTACCTGAGACGGGACCTGTGACCGGTCCCCAGATTGAGGTGTTTGGCCACGCCATCACCGGCACCGTGTACACCCGGTTCGCGCTGTTCGACCCGCGACTGCAGATGGACGACGACTCCCAGTCGGTCGCCAACTTCACCACCCACCTCAACAGGAGCACCGAGTTCCCCAACATAGTGAGTAGCGCGGCCGATCGCGTGCCACCGAGCTCTCCAGCATCGTGAGTAGCGCGGCTGGGCGTGTGCCGCCGAGTCCCCAGCCGAAGATCGCACTCCGGACATCCTTCCAGTCACTTTACCTACTTAGTCCTTCGTGAGCAAAGATAGATTCAAGGAGCCATTCTTGAATAGTGTTGGAAAAAAAGGTAGAGGCTTGCCGCACACACTGCCGCATACAGAAAGGAACACAAATCTGTTATGATTTTTTTCTCTTTCAAAATATCACATGGAACCCGTGAGAAAGCACAATGTATACTCACCTGAGAGCACATATGTAGACGAGTACCTAAAAGTAGCCAGAAAGAAGGAACATTCTTTTAGGAATTACAAACAATGTTTATTAAGTTTTTTTATTGATACGTAATGTTTGTCGTGATATGCGTGACATGGCTTCTTACTTTACAGTATCACTCTGGAAGATTTGTCATAAGCAACTTCACAACTACAAAGGAGGGGATACTGATTTTCGTAATTAGAACGGCCCTTTTGAAGTAAGTGGTTTCATTTTCTCTCAACTTGCCATTACATGCTGATTTAGATATGGACGCTGTTATCGTAAATGATAGATGGAACAAACGAGCGTTATTGCAGACCACTCACCACTGCGAAGTAAGTGATGAATATTGATTAATAACGTTACCAAAGACCGTCGCTGATGGCTCCCGATAGCCCACTGTCGCCAGCTCCTCAGCCACGTGTGGACTCTGCACCACTGACGTGTCCCGTTCTGCGGCAGATCCTCCACCATGACGTCGGGCAGCTCGTACCCGATATCGGTGGCCGTGACCTTTGGCGACGGCCTGTTCGGCTGGTCACAGCAGGCCATGTACATCTGCAGCCAGGCAGACGTAAGATGTCATTTCAAACGGCACAGGCCCCATAACAGCACCACTAAAGTAAAAATATACCATTTCTGATACGACGAGAAGTGGCATGACAAATCGGCTCGGCCTGTTTAAGAAGGTTAAATATCAAAGGTAAAAACACTTTTTATTTTTATGATTATACGCAATGGTTAACACGCGCAGTGGAAGGGTTGCGAGTACTACGCCCAGTGGAAGGGGGGGGGGGCGGATGTCGCCCCCCCCTAAGATCTCAGCTCCCACTGGAGCTAGAAAGACGAAATTTGGAGGGTAGGTGGGGGCCATGGGGAACTCTGTTGTGTGTGAATTTCATGACCCTAGGTCAATATCTTCAAGGTCAAATAAGGTCAAATGTGGTCAAATCTGCCATATTAGCGACTTTTTTGCGTTTACACGCCGATAACTCAAAAAGTTACCGGCCGATTTTCTTTTTTCTTTCACCATACGAAAGAATAAACATTTGTGAGTATGTATGGTGAATTTCTAGATAATCCAACAATAAATATGCCAGTTAGAAGCCTGCTAAGGGTAAGATGTCGCCGGCTGAAGCGGGATCGGCCGACGCGGGAAACGCGGCAATCACAATTTTGTGTTTACACACTCATAACTCAAGTTGTTACCGGCCGATTTTCAAAATTCTTTGACCATATGATTCCCTGTACACTTCTCAGTCTTCTCACCAAATTTGACGCGAATCTAATATAATCAGCGGTAAGGAGCGCGATGTAAAGACGGAACCGTCCCGCCCCGGCACAGTCTACAATTCAGGCGGCGCGTAACGGCTAGCGCCGGCCGCCGCGCCGCCGCGCCGCCGCGGCGGCAGGATGTTTGACTTTACATCGCTGTTACTAGAAAAGTTGTGAACCGATTTTCTTATTTCTTGCACGAGAAGATCTGCAATTCAATTTTGGGCAGGTAGCCAAAATTTCACATTAATATTTTATTTGCGGCGCGAGTTATTGGCGAAAAACAGGAGGGGTGGGCGAAATCCGCCCCCCCCCCCCTTCCACTGCGCGTGTTAACCATCAAATAATTCATTTACGGTGTTTGCAACAACTGTATTTTGATAGCCTTATTGTGATATCAGGTGACCTTTGACTTCAATGGAGTGCTGGCGCCGAGCGCCGGCGGAACCTCGGGTCAGATCGAGAGGCGGGGCGCAGACCGGATCGACGTCCAACTCCAGTACACAAACGCGTTCGACGAGCTCCGGTTGGAGGTAGGCCATCCGCCATCCGCCGCCTCCAGGAGGGCAGCGGAATGTTGTTCTATATGCCCTGAGCGGAATGCTCATGGTTACTGGTGGAGTTTTGCTTAGAACGTTCAAATCGATACCAATGGTAATTATATTCATACAATACGTAAGGTTAGAGGGAGGTAAGAGCTAAACTATAGGTAAGCTGAGCTGTGCCGTCTTTTGTGTCGACGTGTCTTGTTTGTCAAACTCTCTGCATACCTACAGGTCTCGGGGACGTCAGTCAAGGCGGATGTGTTTTCACTCACCGCCATCGAACTGCAAACGATGGAGTCAAGCTTCGGTAGCTGTGCCGCTTTCCGTGACGATGTGAATAGTACCAGTGTCTTTGAGACGTCGTCTTCAGGGAGAACTAAACGGGCCGTCAGCAGGAGCTTCGGAAATATCCTCAACTGTGGCGGTACGAATGTTCAAAAACATCTACTTATCTGACTTGCAGGATCAGGAAACCACAATGTGCAGTAGTATTGAAGCTGGGCGTCGTGGTGCAAATTGTAAATACCCCAAGGTGTCTTGATACAACACAATACTTATTTATAAATGAGACGGGGATGGAGAGCGACTGCAAGAAGTCGCGATTGCGGGACGAGTTTAAGTTCCATTAGTCTGTTGCTGGTTGTACCTCTGTGATTTATGAGCCTCTGCTGATTCCACCACCATGTTTGTCGCTGCTGGTTTGACTGACATTATTGGCCACAATATCAGCGTTCCGTTTCCAGGCGCGCAGCCTCGCTCGGCGGGCGAGGACGACGAGATAGTCCTGGGGTTCGGCGTCGTCACCGACGGAGAGCCCGGCGACACCTTCACCATCACCGTCCGGGTGCTGCTGAGGGGCGCGCTGAAAATGACGCAGTCACTCACACTCACCCTCATCGAATCAACAACTGCCACACTCGGCACTAAATATCAAATGGTTGGTCATTACGATTGACTTTATGAATTACTGTCAATGTAAAGACGGATAAACGAGACGTTAATTCGTTTTCTCTGCACGCTAATCCGCTGCAGTGTTTCACAGACACAGCTGACATCTTTCCGTCTGCATGTTTTTAGGCGCGTGTCGGAGAGGGGGTCAAACTGGCGCTGACGGAGCCGGCTCCAGGCGTACCACTCGACATCAGCCCCGGGAGACATGTCACCTTCGACATGTCTTACGAGTTCCTCAGTCACCAGTCGGAGCAGTGGTGAGTTCGTGAAACACTTAGAAAGTCGGGCTATTTTATGGACAGTGTAACTGAAACTGAGCTATGAAATTTATTCTTTATCAGGGCAAGTTTTATTTTACGCGAGATATTGGGCCACCTAAGGTGAGATTGTTAAGCACACTTATCTGATTTCAGTGACAATTGACTTCGTATATATCTATCTTACCATTTTTATCTCGCAACAGGATGTACGATTCGGTGAACTAATGCCTTTTCAGTTTGCGCACTGATTGCTATACTGTCTGCCTCTCCAATCTCCATGCGTGTTTTATATTCCAGCATTAAAAACAGAGACCCGAGTATCGACACCGATGTGTACGTTTTCCAAGGACAGCTCGTCGTTACAGGCACAGAGGTGAGCTCTGCAATCACCGCCAGCCCCACACCGGGTCATTAGTTAACAAACGAAACCAATGCTGGTAACACAAGAACGATACAGCACCAATAGTCAGGATGAAACTAATTCTGGCTGTAAAGAAGACGCGTCTTTCCCAGCTAGGCCACTATAAGAGCCAAACGCTGGTAAACTCACCATTGAAATAAATAAATTCGACTTGCCAACTGCAGTGCAAATAAGTAACTAAAGACGACTGATTTTCTGTCACGTGGCTTGGTACCTTGTGATCAGCAGATAAAATAAAAAACTAAGAAAATGCAAAAAGAAACCGATATAGCTGGGTTATGTAGCCGATATAATTGATAAAGGTTTCCCTCTCGCTCTCCTCGCCGCCAATTCGCCGAGTAATGTGGCGCCATGTTCAAAGATGTTTTAAGCAGCGTTCGTCTATGTCTGGACGATCCCTTATGTTTAGCTCACGTCTACATCCCACCATTCGCTTAGCGTCTATTCCCTGTTCCCGCTTGTACTCTGGTCCCAGCTCCCTCACCTGACCGCTGTCGCCCACCCAGGCCCAGCCGTGCGGTGTGTCGGACGGCGACCGATCGGAGGCCGTCTCTCCCACCCTGATGCCCACCGACGTCTCAGTGTTCGACGGCAACTCCTCCATGGTGTTCTGGCTCGGACCGACCTTCTACGCAGGAGTCGTGAGTTATTCTAGCAGGGCACGGTTGGGCTGTGTTCACTTGGAAACAGGGCTTCTATCTAGTTACTTGGCCGCATCGAAATTAATGAGTAATGCGACTCAAAATAATTTGTTCTCTACGCATTTCAGATGGATTACAAGCCTGGAGCTAACGAGTCCAGGCGTATGTCGGTGCGTCTGACGTTCCTTATCGCTGAGACGGCCCAGAACCCGAGCGTCTCAGTGACGTTCCGAAGCTGGGAGACCGTGACGGCAGCCATACCGCTGATGACCGAGGTACGGGCCCACACACATAGCCTCACAAAGACACAAGGCTACAGACACTAAATATAGGGATTCAGCAGGATTTATGGTGCATACTGCGATCTAACACCGTATACTCGTATATTCCTGCATGCATATTGGATTGGATCAGCAATATGTAGTTTACGCTTCAATGCGCTACTTTATTGTGACTATAAATGAACATAATGGCTGTTGCAGAAGTTAACCTTTAATGCAGTTTGTACCGACAATGAACCCCTTAATGAAACGCATGTCGCTGCTGTTTTCAGAGCCAGAGACCGAATGCCACCACTTCCAGAGCGTTCCAAATGGAGGGCAACATCACCAGCACTCTACCACGAACGTGAGCCCGCTCTCATTGTGCAAAACCTACGATTGTAGTGCATTCTGCATGGCGCCTAGTATCTCAGTTTTCGAGTGTGAATACATCAACAAATTGGGGTCTCGCTGTGAATGTAAAGGTACCTAGATGTCAGTTTGAGGTTAATTGTGATAGCGACTTTTGATGTTACGTATGCAACGGCTTAAAAAGAAATGGGATACGGTGTACAGACAAAACGGGAAGGAGATTTGATGGCATTACATATTTGGGCTTAGAGCAAGATTTAATGGACGCGTTTTTACATTTGCTAGTCGATGTAATGAGCACCAACACATCCCAACTCCATCCAAATTACTTGCAAAACGGTGTAAGGAACAGAGTAGCGTACCAATGATCGATTTGAGCGCATTGCTTATGCAGACTAACATGTATGCGTTGAAATCACAGGCGAAACACCGTTAATGGCTATCACTAAACCTACTTATTTTCACCGTTATTTGACAGCGGTATCCTCCTCCTCTGGCAGGGAGAGCACCAGCACCACGCTCTACGCCGGCGGCGTCGTCGCCTTCAACATGACCGTGTTCGTGCCGCCCGGCGGCAGCTACCCCGACTTTCGAGCGATGGCGGCCCGCCGCGAGACCGGCCTGGGCCAGCTGCGTCTCTGCCGCGCTAGCGTCGTCGCAGTGGGCGCCAACCTGCCCTGCAACCGGTACAACTTTGCCGATGCCCCCGCCGTTTACAACAGGTGAGTCTAATACGAGATGCCTGCTTTCCATTTTTTTTTTTAAGCTGGCGAGCTGACGCTGCTGTGTGTTTGATGCGTTTTTACGCATGGTTGTTTGGGTTTATTTGTGTTATTGCGGAGTTTTAGCCATTGTTGTGCGGATGATAAATGTTATAAAGAAGTGACACACCGAAATAAAAAGACAATAACGCTAAAAACGACAATAATTATGACATCATTATTTGTAACATCGGCGAGACAGTCTTGTAGTTATCGATCCCTTAACCCTCGCCGGCCGAGGGGGGGGGGCGGGTGCCGCCCCCCCCATAGGGTTTTTTCGCGAGAGCTCCGAACACGCTGGCGATAGAGAGCTGAAACTTGGCATACCTGACCTTTGATCCAAGCCGGATCTTTTGACACCAACCACATTTTTGGGTCAGGTCAGGTCACTGACCTATGACGTCATAAGTGAACCTCTGCACGGCCTTCAGATGTCGCAACTTCGCAACGCCCTCACTGCCAGAGGAGATGTCACAGGGAAATGAAACTTGCAGGATCTAGTATCCATTATGAGTCCCACAACTTGTATGTCTCGGATTTTTCCTAAAGGTCATATGAGGTCAGGTCATTTTCGTGACCTCACCATTATAAGTCAATGGGGAAAAATGAAAACTGCTATTCTGGCGCCGGGAACGATCTCCAACTATCTCAAGCACACAGAATCGTGATTTGATGCACTCCTTGCAAGGTTAGATGTGTCACTTTTGCAATTTTGACCTTGCGTGACGTCATTTATGACGTCATCAAGGTCATATTAGTTTTTCGTCAATAACTCTTGATCAAATTGAGCTAGCGAGTCGGGAAAGCCACCAATGGACTCAGCAAGACCTGCCGGATCGAATGATATGCGAAATGACCTCTTTCGACCAACTTCGTGACCTAGGGGTGCTGACCTAACCTTGACCTGAGGTCAACACCCCAAGTTGACCTGACCCGGACAAAAAGTATATCATTCGACGCGCCTGAGCGAGACGAACACGATGCTGCAAAAATCGGCGCTCTGCGGCCGTTGTTTGCGAAGTTATTCACCAAAAACTGAACCGTACCTTGGGGCACTTGACCTGACCTCAGAGGTCACCGGTTGACCTAGGATCTTAAAATTGGGTACCAATCTCTGCGTCTCGTAACGGCGCACACGCTCGTTTTTTCCGCGACGCGCTAGCTCCACCAGGGACGAAACGGCGAGGGGGGGGGTCGTACCCGCCCCCCCTCGGCCGGCGCGTATGTAGAAAACCAATAGGTCCGGCGAGGGTTAACACTACAGAGTCACCAACCTCGTCTGCTCTCCTTTCCGTGCTGACCTCAGACTCGTGACCTTGCGCCTACCCTTTCCTCCAGGAGTGACTTGTCACACAGCCACCCGGAGCCCGACACCGGCGCCGTCCAGCTGGGCTCGGTGTGCGCCGTTCCCACCGAGCTCCTGCACGGCGCACGAGACAACCTGCTGGTGGCCAACTTCGTGTACCAGCACCTGGCCAAGTTCGGGCCCAACAACACCTTCGAGGACAGCAACCTGCCCAACCGTGAGACGATTTGATAAGAGCTAGTGCCTTTCTGAAACACGCGCAAGAATTGAATTAATTCATCAAATTAAATTATCCAATTAAGCTATTGAATTAATAGGACTAAGCTCGAATTAGGCCAAGGGATGGTAAACTTCATAACCAGGCACATAGACTACTACATACGAGTATCGTAGTAGTCTATGCCAGGCAGTAGTCTATGCCAGGCAATACTTTAATTATGCGATTCTGTGACATACTTCTCGCACTTGCGGCTCAATAACGTATTTTAAAATTTATTATCTCTATTTTGTTTTAGTCGTTACGCAAAATTTTCCATGGTATCATTCTTATTACATTAGCACTGGAATGCTATGATAGGTACCGCATAAAAACAAATAGTTATCAATGCAACATTATGAGATAAATCATTGAAGCGTTGGCTCTTACTCGAGCTGCAACTTTTCAGCGATCTACTTTAACGCCATTGTGGAGAGCGACGCTGTGGCGGGCGGTTTTGCTGCTCAGATCGGGTACGCCACGTCCACCAGCCGAGCGAAGCTGGCCGCCGTGCCCGCCAGTCAGCCGCGCAAGATCTGGGTGTCGGTCCGCGGCGCCGGGCCGTACCGCCTCGGCCAGACCGTGCTGGTCGACCTCAACTTCAAGGTCAGTCGCCGCGGGAGCGGTCCGGGGACATCGCTCCTGCAATGGAAATACGCATTTGCAAACATCACAACCGCCGATTTATAATTGATGATATTAAGTCAGCACCGTACACCCAGTTGACATTTCAATATAAGCTACAAATCAATTCGATTCGTGATCCTATACAGGATTCCACATCCTATACAGGATTCCACATCCACTGTACACTGTGTGTTTGTGACGACGAACTTTGTGACGTTTGTTTCCGCCCCGTCAGTGGAATCCGGGTGTCATCTCGGACGCCTGGTGGACGATCACAGCATCCGAGGGCGAGGACCAGGTCAAATTCTGCGACATCCGAGTCACCCACATCGGCGACAACTACGCCTGCAAACAGGAGGCCAAGCAGCTACCGCTGATCCACAAGCAGTCCTACGACAGTCCCGAGTCGGATTACGGAGAGCGGACACCGTTCAACAGCTCCAGGGCCACGTCTATGGTGGCCCACCTGATGCGATACGCCAACGCCGGTGAGGCTGACGGCGGTCTGTAGAGGATAGTGGTGTCAATCGGTAACCGAAAAATTCGGTTACCGAAAAGATGTGGTGACCGATTCGGTAATCGGTCGGTCAGGCCCCCCAAATATCGGACATTTTCGGTCACCCTGTCAGTAAAACCATTTTCAAAAAGAGAAAGCATTCCATTTTTACCTAGTTAAATGCAATGTACCCTTAGCCAATTTACCATGCAATCTACCCTTAGCAATGTAACGTCTACCACAAAAAATGTATTTTGCAGTGCCTAAGAATTGACTGAACTTGGACTGAAATGCTATTTCCCATTATTTTCCATCAGAATTTACCAAATTATTTAATTTGGGGTTAAAATGATAGCAACTAGAATTTCGGTCAAATTTCGGTCAAATTTTGGCTTGGGATGTTATCGGTCGGTATTCGGTCGGAAATGTTTCCCAAAATTCGGTTTCGGTCGGTATCGGTCAGACATTTTTTGGAAAATGACACCACTACTAGAGGATGTCGAGTTGTTGACAGGATGGTACTGCTATTGTAATTGGTGACACATTTGAGATATGGAAGACCGAAATCTTAGTGGATGTACGTTTAACTGATTTTTTTTTTCATGATTATATCGCAGTTGATAGGATAAAAAAGTTTCTTTTTTAACTGAGCAGTGTCGATGGTATGTGCCGCTGACCGGGCGGCCGGTCACCGGCAGGCCTGTGGCCGACGTACGCCGACACCGCCATCCAGGACGCCGACACGGTCAGCACGTCTGTGGCCGTGACGATACCAACCAGCGCCGGCACCACCGCCTCCTTCCAGGTCGCCCTCAACGAGGTCAACTTCGTGTGGACCGAGACCGTGCAGCTGCAGGTGGACACGAGCCAGACGGCCGTGGCCGCCGAGCCCAAATCACTCACCTTTGTCGCTGGTGAGATCCTGAGTTAGGGAGTTGAATTGAAGGAGCTGAGAATGGCGGCACCTGGGATGTTTGACGTTCTCTTTAAATGCTGATAAATTTTTAAACAACGCGATAAATGTTCACAGACAGCGGTGAAGACTGGACCGTCTTCCCCGGTGTTCTGAAAACATTTGAAGTCGTTCTGGAGCTGGATGACAACTTTGAGCGTACCGTCCAGCTGGTGCTCGGGTCGGCCGACGATGTGCCCAAGTACGACGCCTGCTGCGCCTACGTCACCTTCGTCGGCGAGAACATCCCGTGCATCAACGTCGCCGAGATGCAGACGGAGATCTCAAAGAGCTCGTAAGTGATAGACATTTCGCTTATGAACGCCCAGCTGCGCTCGTTGATAATTTGTTTTGGACCAACGACTAAACAGAGCTGGGAATTTTATGTGAACTGACTATCTGATTTCATCAAACCTGTCAAATGAGGCAGTGGAACGGGCAAGATAGGCTGGCCTGGTAAAGCATACTAGTGGATCAGGAAACAAAACCTCCCAGAAGATGCTCGACAGCAGCTCTGAGCCCGCCGGCCGCGGCCTACACTAACACCCTCCCCCTCCCCCTTCGTATCTCTCCTCAGACCCTCTGTGGCCGGCCACGACGTGCTGACGTTCGACATGGGCCGGCTGTGCTCGGTGCCGATCGCGCCGCGTAACACCACCACCCACCAGCTGCGGGTGACGCTCGGCGTGCGGCCGCACGGCGCGCTCACCGCCGGCGACCAGCTGGGTGTCACGGTCACCGTGCTGCTCGACGGCACCGTGATGGCTGCCGGAGCCGTGTTCGGCCAGACCCCGGCGCCGCCAACGACTACCGCCGCCGCCACCACTGTGGGCGACGCTCCCCTGGCTGAGGGCGATATGGTGCTGTCGGAAGGCGATGTAGCCCCAACCGAAGGCGCCACGGCCCCGCCTACAGGCGATGCGGCTCCTGTGGGCGATGACACCATATCTGAAGGCGATGAAGCTCCGTATGGAGACGATACTGCACTGTCTGGAGACGATACCGCACCGTCTGGAGACGATACTGCACCGTCTGGAGACGATACTGCACCGTCTGTAGACGATACTGCACCGTCTGGAGACGATACTGCACCGTCTGGAGACGATACTGCACCGTCTGGAGACGATACTGCACCGTCTGTAGAAAGTACGACGTCGGCTACCTCGTCTGGAAGTGATGCCTCGACGAGCGGTAGATATTGCTATTATTACACAAACTGTTGTGTGCTGTTGGCTGTTGTGTATGATAGTAGCTGAAAAGGTCCGATTGTTCTGTTGATCACATTTGATGAAATAACTAGATATGCATTTGGATGGACGAGTCAAATTATTATGCCGTCGGACTGAGAGGACAGTTTGACGGACAGGAAATCCACGTAGGTCCCTGTGCTCGCCTGCCAACTGCTGCTGAGTGCTGATGGCTGATCACGACTGCCCGTTTCAGGCCGAAAGCGCCGCTCGACTGGCCCCGGAGGACCGCTCACCATCACATTCACCGTATCGGCCGACTCGTTCACGGGCGAAACGACTACCGTGAGTGGCGACAACCGTCGAGGGAGGGAGGCGGCACTTACACAATTCTAAACATGTGCCGAGAGTATTACCATGTCCAGCTGTATTGAAGCTGTATTCTGGGCACTTCCGCAGGGCGACATCTCTCTTGTCAACTCCTCTGACTCCACTCCGATGACAAACATGAGTGGCACGACCTGGGCGCGCTTCAACGTCTCTGTGCCAACCAGCTCGGTGGCCAAGCTCAGCCTGGTGGTGACTGGCTACTCGGAGCACGGCCGGGCAGCGGTGGTCCCCACCGGAGGTCTCAGGTCAGCCACCCTCCGAGCGCTGACCACTGGGGTCGGGTCAGGTCACTGAATGTGTGTGCGGACCACCTGTGAGTTGACTGCATCAGTCATAAATGTAATATAGTTTAACACTTATCAATGTTCAGTAAATTCCGCTTTGCCAATTATCTATCTTAACTCTAAAAAATCATTGGTACAATTTTGTAAGTTTAGGTAATGCTGCCGAATTTTCAACGAATGTGAAGCTCCCTGCACCCTCTGCGTCCTTGTTTTTCTGACATTCCGACTCTCTGTCGGCAGATTTTTGGGCCGCGGACGGAACGTGCCCTGCGCTGCCCTTTCGGACCTGAACGACACCATCGAGCTGTCCAGCACTCTGTCCAACTCGCAGAATGACGTCATCTCCCTGGACGTGGGATACGTCACTAATACAGGCACGGTATCTTCCTCTTTTAATGAAGTGGTTATTTCAGTGATCGTTCTGCAGTATCCGTGCTAAAACCAGCACAGGTGCATATAAAAACCCTCTGACGCCGTTGTCTGTGACTCTGTCCACCGTTCGGTGTTTCCCTGACACCGCTGTCTCTCCCCTATGCGGCCTCTGACCGTGTCTGGCCTGCAGGGATGTCCCGCGTCCGGTATCCCAGTCCGGACTGGGTGGAGGCAGACGACATGGTGCAGTTCGAGGTCGAGCTCCGGTTCAGCGACCACCCTCGGGCCACCCACGAGACCCCGCTGCCGGTCACTCTGCAGGTCAGGAACGGTAACCATAATCAGTGGCAATCACACAAGCCAGAAATGATAACACTAACTGAACCTCGCTAAGCTCAAACCAAAAATCAGAAAGGGCTCCGCTGCCAATCGTGCTACAAATCAGCAAGCTCAGTCTGTCAGCGATTCTGAGAGCCAGAATGTTCTCCCGTTGTCGGTCAATTTACGGGTCACAGTGGACAGAAGATCCTTGGATCGACCTCATATGACCTGAAAGTGCACTAACTGCTCCCAATGCTTCCTGAAGATCCGTGAACGATGACAAGAACAATTAATCTGATATCACCAGTTCATACACGACGGAATTGCCTGCATCTAGAGCAGCTCACATTAAGAGAACTCTGACGCCCCATAATAATGCCATAGATCCGTCTTTTAGTGCTTTTTTTCGAGCCGTTTGGAAATAAAATAAGAAGTGCTATCCTTTTGTATAATGATGCACTTGCATTTTTTCTAATGCTTTTCGTATCCGTAGGTGAGGTACGGCTCCCTGGAGAGCACCATCACCCAGGGCGTGGCTCTGCAGCGGCTCGGAACGGAACTGCCTGACATGGAGCTGGTCGCCTGGGCGGACAACGACCTCCCCTACCTTCCGAAGTCAGTCACCAGCTACAGAACTCTATGAACGCCAAGGGAGCCAGGTTCTTGATTAACATTAGAGACATAATGAAAAAAGCTAATTATATAATTTGCATTTCTTTCACCTGTTCAGATATGTTTAGCTTCGTATGGTGCAGAAGAGGGGAAGACGCTCGGTCCTGCTTTTTTAGCTATTTACTCCGCTTGTCATCTGGTGATTGGTAGGAGTAAACGCGGCTCATAGCTGATGGACAGAGAATAAACGCATCATATCCATCATCATAGCTGATGGACAGAGAATAAACGCATATGAAATGAAATGAGACACTGACTTCGTTCCGATGTTGTCCCTGCCCTGCAGCGCTCAGGTGCCGGTGGACATCATCGTTCGGAACCGCCCGAACGCCACTGCGGACGCCATCAACGCCACGGTGACGCTGGCGCTGCCGCCCTACATGGCGTTCGGCTCGGTGGCGTGGACCAACTTCAGCGAGCCGCCGGCGGTGGCCGTGCGCCGGCACGCCGTGCTGCTCAGCTGGCCGCGCCTGCTGCCCGGAGAGGGCCTGCACGTGCAGCTGCTGCTCACCGTCGACCCGACCAACAAGCGCGGCCACGGCGCCGGCTACGCGGCCGCTGTCACACCCATCTTCCTGCGCGCTACCATGTTCCGCAGGTGGGTGGAGTACTGACGAGTCATGCTCCGAGGGTCTGGGGGTAGCTTGGAGTGATGGTAATAAAAGATGGCGGATGCGACCGACCCTCCCCGCTGGTGCAGGATGAAATGGAGATTTGTTGAAGTTTTAACTACGACCGAGATGTTCTTGTATTTCTTTTGTTTTAGTTATTTGGCCTTTATTTGACTTCCTGAAACATTTCGCCATTCGATGGCTTATTTGCTATTTCGAGGAGTTAACCCTATTAGTGCAGGCTCCTGGCTACCCCATATTAGTGGCAGGGGGGGGGGGCTGTTTACGACCCCCCCTTGATATCTCGAGATCTAACCGGCCGATTTTCAAAATTCAAACGGCATTCGATTTGGCTCAACGAGATCTACATTTCTAAAAAAAAAAATAAAATTAAAAAATGTCAATAGGGGGGTAGAGGGGGGTAAAAACGGGCAAATTGTAGATACATTTTAGACTGGTTATCACGGCCAGGTTTCTGAACCAATCTTAACGCAACTTTTGCCGATCGATAGAGAATGAACCAGGAATTCACATGGATCCTAAAAATATGCATTTTCAAAAATCATAGGCGGATACAGATCATTGAGATTGGGGGTACACAAAAAGTATAGTAAATAAGGTTTTTGTTGGTACTGTTTCTAAAAAGGGTGGCAATGGTCTTGTTAGGTTACATTTTTCTTATGAGAGAACGACTAAAATTGTATTGGTCATGCATAGGCGGTGTCAGGGCACCTATGTTGGGAGGTAAAAAATAACCCCCCTTTTTGGACGCCTGGATCCGCCTATTATAGCAAAAACGTGTCAAAAGAGGATGCACAATAACTTTGTATATGTTATCACATGATACCTTTCATTCACTGTTCGTAAAACTGGTGCAGCATCGTGATCTTCGCCCAAATGACTCGCTTCACGAATAGGACCCCCCCAATTCCCAGTGCTCTGGAGCCGCCCCTGGTAAAGTTATGAACTTGAAATTTTCAGGGAATGTGCCCAATTTAGTTTTAGGAAAAGTCAGAAAATTTCAGCATCGTAGCTTCAGCGATTTCGGAGATATTTCCGAAAAACCTGAGGGGTGGATAAAAACAACCCCCCCCCCCCTGCCACTAATAGGGTTAAAACATTGACAATTAGCTTGGCATGGTTTTTCATTATCGTTGTGTAATGTGGCAGTAAATAGAGAAACAGTCAGAAGCCATACTTCCCGGGATAAAAAGCGAATTTCGAAAGGATTGAATGGCTTCCATTCCTCAAATGTAACCTAAACAGCCGCATCTATTTTCCTAGGGGCTAGGAATTGACAATTGGAGAGAAAAAGATGTTTCATGGCTAAGCAGAATTCCATATTCGTCACATTCCCAATATTCGTCAGGTACGGTATTCCGACACTGGAGTCCGGGGTGTACCCGCCGCAAGGAAAACTCTGGTACCCGATGGCAACACCGACTTATATCAACTTTGACGTCAATAGCGAAGGTACGATTCCACTCAGTTATGTCATGCTAAGGTTCTGGATGAAAAGTCGCTGAACGTTTACCGCGTAGGTTCAATGCACCAAAGCATTAAAATACACACAATACACATTAAACTAATGAGAATGTCGTTTCAGACTGTTACGAGCCGCTCGGAATAGCCAGCGGCCTGGTTGCCGACTGTCAGCTGTCGGCTTCGTCCGCTGCCGAAGACTCGCGGCTGGCTCACATGGCCAGGATGGAGCCGTGCGCCGCCGACGGCACTGGCGACACGTGAGCAGAACACACGAGTACCCTACACTGGCTGCTGAGTACTTAGGAGCACCAAGCACCGAGCGTAAAATCATTAAAACGGCTGACAAAGGATATCGCCGCCTTACATAACGACAGCATCTGCTACACATTATGCTAGTCAGAGATATGGCACACGGAGATAACTTTTTTATGTTCGATGAGCCATTGTCATGTGATTATGATGCTTATTGCTTAGACAGCGTTGCATGCGATTTTACTAATTGTGGTGTGCCTAAAAAATGTAATGTTGGAACTAATTGATAATTAAAGCTAAGAGAAAACGTCTAACAAAGCTTGTCTCTGCTTTATAGGGACACCAGCACCCCGAAGCCGACAACGGACCAGGGAGACGCAGCACCATGCGTCGGTTCCTCAGGTAGGCTATAGCTATAGTTTGTTTTGCTTTACTCAATATACCCTGGTCGTGCTGACATATGTGTGAGCCGTTTTGAATGTAAGGTAGGGTATAACACGAATTTCAAGCAGTTTTATTCATACCTATGCATCGTGATTCCATACAGCATGGTCATGCATTTCCACACCGTGGTTCTAAGCATACCCCTTGCAAAGATGGAGAATATAGACGACAAACCTTCGGACATTTGCGTACATTTTATAATTACTTTGAAATGCCCTACGTTGTGGCTATGCAACACTGCATGAAGTGGCAACTAAATCAGAGATGAGAGATGTTGCAGGTTGCCGCATCAGTACCCGTCACGGATATGTGTATGGGCGTGTTCGTGTATCGCCTGCAGGCTGGTCGCCCGAGCAGCGCGGCACTCCCTTCATCCACTGGCACCAGGTGGACTTTGGTAACCTGACGCGGGTCACTGGACTACTGGTGGCCCGACCGGCCGGCACCCGCCGGGTCACCCGGTTCCGGCTCCAACACAGCCTGGCCGGCACCGTCTTCCAGGACATCGGACCGGTCAGTAGAGCACTCATATTAGCGATATCAATACAACATATTTTAGAAAATAACGTCACATTCAATGATTTAATAGTAAAGGTCAAGGCCATGGTGGTCTTGGCCTTAGCGAAGACCTAGGTCAAGGCCTTAACCCTCGCATGTGTGCGGCGTTTGCCAGCTTCTAATGTGTAGGGGGGGGGGGGGGTCGGTTGGACCCCCCCTTGCCGTTTGGCCCCTGATCGAGCTAGAGCTTCGCGGAAAAAACGAGCGTGTTACCCGTGACGAGAGGAAGCCGATGATACCCAATTGTAAGGTCCTAGGTCATTGGTTGACCTTCCAGGTCAGGTCAATGACCCAAAGTCGGGAAAATCGGGACCTGTTAGAAAGTCGTAAAGTGTGGCTGCTAAGGGGTTTTTCGGGGTGCTGATCACGAATATCGTGTTAGTTTTGATCACAGATGATGTCTTGAAGCATTTAGACCAGGTCGGGTCAGGTCAGGTCAGGTCAACCAGTAGGCGTCGTGACGGGTATTCGTAGTACGTGTCAACCGCCTCTGACAGCTTCGTAACATGTTACGAAGTCACCAAAACTACTTCGTAAATGTTCAAATGGTTGCCAAATTCGAATTCAGCTCCAAAAACTAGCCTAGAAACATGTAAAACTCGAAAAAGTGACCCGAGGTCACCCGAGGTCACCAAAGGTCAATGACCTGACCTGACCTTCAGGTGACCTTGACACACACGGGAGTAACATCAAATCACATGTTTGAACGTTTGAAACCACGAAAAGCTTGCAAACACGCGGCTAGTGCGAGCCGACATACGCGAAATCGCGATTCCGGCCAAACATGGTCTCGGAAAAGAGGTCACAGGTCAAAGGTCATTTGGGTCAGGGTCATGAAATTTTCAGGGTAGGTGTAAAATTGATCAATGCGAGGGTACTGAAAGTTTCGTCGCGATCGGCCGCTTTTTACGCGAGGTATTCGCGAAAAACCATGGGGGGGGGGTCCATCCGACCCCCCCCCCCCCTACACATGCGAGGGTTAAAAAGTGTGTCCTTTCATGAATGTTTGTATATATTTTCGTGGCACAAAGGTCTTGGAATAATCTCACATCATCAGTTTGATGATTAGCTTCATTTGACTTGAGAAACTTTTGGTTCCCGCGGCGTCTCTGGCACGACTGCATTCTGGAGCGCCTCCTCTGCCACAGGTGATGGCGCTCAACTGGAGCTCTCTGCACAGTGACGGGGTGGTGACGCACAGGCTGGATCGGGCAGTCGAGACGCGCTACGTGCGATTTGTTATAGAAGAGGCCGAGACAGGCGATGACAAGTACATCGGACTCCAGGTACGGCTACATGACCACCTGGGAAGGCGGGGTGGGATCACACCCGTTCCGTGCTTCTATCCTCAGGATATTGAAATCCTTCTCCTCCACGCCGCAACCCCCTCCGGGCTGGACAGGCAACTTTATCTCATGCGGGCTGCTCCCTTGGAGCGGCACCGCTGCTCCCGAGGGAGCGCACCCCGTAGCCGGGTGCAGTGAGTGCCTTGGGGCTGGGTGGCCTGTCCTCTGGACGGGCTCAGCCCCGGCTACTTACTAGGGGTGCCTGCCCAGACCAATGTCTCCCCCTAATTCCTATCATCCTTCCGGCTCTGCAATGGTCTTGTCGACCGAAAGGGCCTAACCCAACAAAACAAACAAAGGGTGGGATCTCACCTTTATGGGATTGGCAGTGAGACAGCTTAGTGGCGAAGTAGATACGGGAAAGTGTTTTTAATTCAGCGCAAATCTAGGTGTATTCAGGGTATGTATGTAACACAGTTCAGTAGCAGTTCATTAATTGACGGACTTTACAGGACATTTTCAGCTGTCCGAGCCTTGTGCACTCGCTAATCGCAGTGCTTCCTGCTACTTAGAGCTTATGCGACATATATATATATATATATATATATATATATATATATATATATATATATATATATATATATATATGTATATATATATATATATATATATATATATATGTGTGTGTGTGTGTGTGTGCTCACTGTATCTGTGACTACACAGATGTGCTATTAGTGTTTCCGCGAATGTCGACGCCTGCTGCGTATACATAGCTGTCCGTGTCTCGCTGTGTATCCGCGCCGACTGCTGTTGTCAGGTGGAGTACCTGGGCTGTCGGCGCTCCACTGACGTGCTCCAGGAGACGGTCTGTGCTGTCCAGCCGGCCACACCGTCCGCCGCAGACGGTAGGTGCTCGGCGCAGCCACTCGAGACGGAGCTATTTTCACTGCCTAGCTTTGTTTACAAAGTACGGCACTGCAATGCAATAAAGAGCAGCTTTGGTGCTCTATGACTACGTACCTGCAGGGCTGCGGAGTCGATGGATTTTCGGCGACTCCGACTCCGACTCCGACTCCGGCTTTCAAAAACCAGCTCCGACTCCGACTCCGACTCCGGGCAGAATTGTCGACTCCGACCGACTCCAACTCCCGACTCCGACTCCGCAGACCTAGCAGGGCTGCGGAGTCGACAGATTTTCGGTGACTCCGACTCCGACTCCGGCTCGGGTTTCTAAAATCGACTCCGACTCCGACTCCGACTCCGGTCACAACTGTCGACTCCGACCGACTCCGACTCCGACTCCGACTCCGACTCCGCAGCCCTGCGTACCTGATATGATTTAATTGTACTTCATATTATTTTACACTCTGTTGACTTTGAGTTAGGTCCCAATTTCTGGAAATGAGCCGAACTTTTAGCTGGTACAACATCTATTCTAAGGCAATGGAATGGAATACCGCTACGACACAGATAGATTCGGCCTTCGAGGATATCCGACATCTGAACCCAACTACGCCATTGCGTTATCCACTGAACTTGGCGTGTAACCTCCCATATTTAGCTGCGGTCACGTTTAACCCTATTCCTGGCGGGGGGGGGGGCCTCAGGAGCCCCCCCCCTGAGGTTTTTTGGTTATTTCTCCCAAACGCGTTGAGCTAGGAAGCTCAAATTTTCTGACTTTTCCTAAAAGGCTTCTACGCAACATGTCTGAAAATTTTGAGTTGATCTGACCTCAGGTCAGGTCACCAGAGGCGGTTTGGTGACCCTACCTCAGAAAAGTTTGCAATCACGCCAGAGCTAGAGTTTTTGACCGATCAACTTCTTCTCTTCAGGGTTTAGTTAGGGTACCAGTATGTGCAATTTGTATATCTCGGAATTTTGATATCGGTGACCTAAGGTCAGGTCAATTTCGCGACCTCCCCATTATAAGTCAATGGGGGAAAAATCAACTCCCTGTTTTTACCACTAAAACGGGTCGGAATGGCCCCATATACCATACATGACTTCATATACGATCAACCTTCACTACCTTGAGGTCTGTTTTGCTGTTGGGCAGCTGTGAGGTCATGTGACGTCATCAAAGGTCACCAAAGGTTTTTGGCCAATAACTCCGTACAGGAACAAGATACAGACGCGTGGATGGTCTCATTGTGTTCAGCTCGTCAAGACGCATCGAATGATATACATGATGACCTCGAGGTCACGTGACCTGAGGTCAACCTTTGACCTTGACCTTTCGAGGTCAACATATATATCATTCGATTCGGATTGACGAGAGGATCACGATGATGCCCTTAGTTTGTTCCTATCTTGACTAATTCGAAAGTTATTCGAGAAAAACTCTCTCCATATCTAGCGCCGCCATTTTGACTTTTTCGACCCCTGTGACGTCATCTTTGACCTGACCTGAAAATGACCTTAGTAAAAATTGTAGATCTTGGCCGTGCGTATCCGATGCCGTTTACCGCTTGTCGCTATCTTGCTTCGTTCTCGAGATCTCAGGGGGGGCCGAATCGGCCCCCCCCGCCAGTTTCTTGTCCCGGCGGAGCCCGCCAGGAATAGGGTTAAACACGCGTGATCTTTACCGACGTCGGTGGAAGATAACTCGCCGACATCGCAGAACAAAACAGCGCTCTGAACTTATACTTACCAACTGGTGTTCTACATGCCTACTGAGTACTGAGTCAGTATTAGATTCCTTATTTGACGACTTAACTATTTACTGACCGTAAAACAGATGTACGCTTATTGCTAATACTTCCGATAGACTTTGATACACGCTCTGAAATGACAAACTGTCTCATCTTGCTATTCTAAGGAACATCCGGCAAAAATTAAAGTCAGAATGGTATTACCAGACAGGCAAATTTCTTAGTTCCCCTGTTGTTATTCAACTTAAAATGAAGCCCAAAACATTATATTGCATTGTTTATTTCGACAGCAATTACAATACCTTTTTCTTAGAAAGTCTTGTCATATTTGGTTTACACCTTTTAGTGACACATATCTATGCCTACTATGCTTGAAACGTTAAACGCATGAACATTTTGATCGATGTATACATATATTAACATTTTGATCTGTGCAACAACATGTTTGTATGAGATATTTCAACTTCGACTCTCGCCTCCTTTTCAGCTGCGAGAAATAGACACTTTGCTGTCGATACAGCAAATAATCACATATACTTCTGCGATTTAATTCAATCAAGGTACGTACGTAATGCCAAGGTTCAGATTTTAGAGGCATCTCTATTGAAAGTATTCGAATTATGGCCGTAATGCTAAACGTATGCATTGGCGCAGCGCAATGCTGGACTTACCGACCGCTCGCTAGATGGCAGCAAGAGCGGCGCCTGATGTCATACTGTGCCGCAGAACACAGTCTTGGTCAATGCACCGATTGAAGAGTTGCCGCCAGGGTTTTCGCATCACTAGATTGCAAGCTGTTAATTTCTGCTGATAACACGTATACTTTTGAAATAGTGATGCAAATATGATCGTCAACAGCCAGGAACAGCCTACATCAAACAAATGCATAGGTATGCTGTACCTACTTTCAAGTAGGGGAAGGTGGGGTAAGACGGACCAGCTAAGGTTTGAGGCCGCATATCTTACTACACTGCTCTCGTAATTCATATTATTTATAGTCTTCGGAATGCTCAATCCTTCCTCTGTTGATATGTGTAAAGACTAAATTTCAAATTAAAGACATCTAGGTGGTGGATGCTCTTAAAGAGGGACATGTCAAAAACTCAGACAAGAAAAAACGTGGGGTAAGACGGACCACCCAGCAGTGCCTGCTATCCGTTCATGTGTGTTACACGTCTGCTCTGTACTCTTGTAAGAAAAAGTAACCAGAATGGTAAAATAACAAAATGAGCCTTTATTCTTTACTCATGTGTGATGGTAGTGCAGCTAAAAGCTGGGAACATATGTGTTGAATGTCGTTTGGCATGAATGCAGCTAACTGAGCACTTGCATGCATGGCTCACATGCAACAAAGACTCCTTCCTGAAAAAATTAGCTTACTCAAACTTGTGTCAATGTTTTGGAAAAGAACTTTCCATATGCAGGGTACAATGGACCACCACATGTAGGGTAAGATGGACCACAGTGGTCCGTCTTGCCCCAAATCTAAATTCTGTCATTATCATGACGTATATGTCAAATAGCCCAACATTGCAAAACCTTGCCTTTTCTAAAGTGTGACTATAACTAAGTTTATAACTTTGTTCTTCACAGTTAAGTGCAAAATAGAAACTAATCATGCAAGAAAGGCGCCGTAATTGAATCACCCGTAGACCTCTTATATTAGATCGGTTTGACGAAAAACAACATTTTTCTCAATAACTCAAAAGTTATGCATCCTAGCAGCATGAGCTCAAGGTGGCCATTGTTACGAAGGAAAACAAACATACACTGTAAAAAATATTGACGAGCTATGTGTCAAAACAAGGGTCTCGAAACAGTCACCAGGTTGTCAATGCTTCCGGTACCTACCACTTGACTAGTTACCGCTTAGTTAGCTTACAGGCTGAGAACTATCCAGATCGTTATGATCCGGTATTGTAATGATACCCTAGGTGTACCTTTTTTTTTGAAGTGCTGAATTAACTATCAAGGTTGTTTGACGTTTGTTTTCGCCTCAATCCGAAACGAGGAAGACCCTCATCAAATTATTAGGTGAAAGCCAGCCTCAGGATGATCAAAATACTAGGGGTAGTTTTGTCATAGTAATCTGTGAAGGTTGAGGAACAAGCCGTAGCAATGCACTCGTCACTAAACCAGCCTGAGATTATTCGCCAGGTAGCGGCTGCGTTTCCCTACTTGCTGAATCATGTTAGCAACTTTCCATTTCCAGACACTTTTTACGGCAAATAAATTGTTGGGTTATTTGGAAGGTGAATGACAATTTTATTTCTATAAGTCAATACATTTGTATTTCCGATTGCCCTAAAACTTTTTTTTTTAATCGTTTGCGGTAGGTTTTTATTGTTCGCAATAAAGTTGCGCACCTGTGAATCCTTCACTTAATGCGTTCCCGGCTTCCCGGCGCCAGCTGTTGCGCTGTGCCGTGCCGCGTTCGGTCGGGGGTGCGCGAGTCTGTGCAGTGCGAGTGTTTATCACTGGGCAAACCTGTATCGTTTCCATTTGTGCAGTGTCTAGTTATGAAGAATTGCTTGCCGATATATGACCTGCAGTGATCGACGTTCTGATTCAATAACTTGCCATAAGCCATTATTCTCAACCAAATCGCGCAGAGACGTTTGCAAAGTTGTCGAGGGGGGGGGGGGGGGGAACAAGAGCGATTTTAAATGAATTGCTCTCCATGCAGTGCAATAGGACTTAGATTTAATTTTTCGAAAGTTGTGGAGCCGCCCCCGGTGTCCGGCCTGGCCAACTCTCTCAAGAACCGACAGCTAACGGAACACTGAAGTTTCACTACGACGATTTCCGCCAAAGTTATGAAGAAAGGGCAAGTGCAAGAAGTACAAAACTTCTCTTGGTAATCAAAACTTAGGTTTGGCAAATTCCAAACCCTAAGTCACTACAACTGTGGATATAAATAAGCTGGTTATTGACGGCCAAGCTCTGGCCAATCTGAGGTTCAGACCTATCATCAAGTTCATGAGGCAGCTGCGGTTGGGCGGCTCACGGGCTCCACTGCATAGGCTCAGACAGGTACTCTACAAAATGTCTTCTGTGTTCTTAGGTTCAGATCTATCGATAGGTATGTGCATGCTTCTGATTCGATTGATAACTGTAAACGGGCGCTGGAAGTGAAAGATTCGCTTGATATATGAAAGGTGCATTGCAAGAAAGCACATTATTTCAGAAATACACTTTCATTTTATCTTGAGCGTTTTTGGAATGGGCCGGATGAATTCGTCATCAAACTGGTAAGGGATTTCGTTTGAAGACCACCGATAATTAATAATATGATGGTCTTCAAACGAATTCGCTGGCAAATTCGATGACTGGATTGGGCGGCGTAGGATCTGCTGGTCATCTGACTATGGGTTGAGCAATACGTTAGTTTTGACCTAGTTTGAGCTTCATTCGTTAAGTAGGAACAAGACGATGCTTCTTTTGAGCATCGTCACTAAACAAGCCGCCCTCGTTTTGACATTGTTTTTCGTTATTATTGTTACTAGGTACTTTGTTATCATACACAGCATTAACGAGGACCTGCTTCCAAAACAAGGCAGAAACGCTCCAGCTATTTTTGGGACGTGGTAAAAACTAACCGACACCTGGTAACTGTCATCTGACGAACACAAAACAAGCCAGGGGCTCGCAGCGTGTGTCAAAAGTAGGATGCAAAACTAGTCTGTACCCCCGACATTTAGCGTTGAGAATCATTTGACGAGGGGCTAGTCAATATTTTTTACAGTGTAGTGAGTGCATAAAGCAGTAGATACCAGCAGCGGTTCAGCCGGGAGGGCTGGTGGTCCGTCTTGCCCCGCTGGGCCGTCTTACCCCACATTCCCCTACCTATCTAGCTCTAATTTTGATGGCTTCCGTATCTGAGCTATGTCTGCTAGATCGTTATCTGGCATTTTAGCCCACATTAGTGGTTTTCTGCTCACTGAAAATAGTTTTACAGTTTCAGCGTAATATCTCATCATAGGATGCTCCGTTAGCTTCACACCGTAATTTATCACCTCGATATTTACGAATCGTGCCCGCTATTTTGGTCAGGGGTCGGCGAGCCTGTTACGTCTCGCACGACTCGCGCAGCTGGCGACAGCTGCCGAACGTCATAGAGCGGATGGTCGGCTTTGACGAGTCGTCGGGTAAAATATACGGCGCTGGGAGGAGCCCGGACACCCTGCTCTGGAGCACCGACGGCGGGAACACCTGGGCTCCAGAGGCCAAGGTACGGCGATCGACCTGCCACCTGACGGTCGGTGTGATAAGGACTAGTAGACAGGTAGCAGCACTGTCAGCTTTGGGTTTGCAAAGACCAAACTACGAGACTATAAATTATAATCTTGACCTACTCGTATAGCTAGTCCGTTCAACCGATTATTTACGTGGCTCAAACCAGTTCCAACATTAAATATGTAGAAGAGGATCATGATCTCATTATATGGCCCCAGTTCATACGAATCATGGCGCTTTTGAATTAGGTGGGATGTTTCTAACCGCATTTTAACGTATCTTATTGCAGAGCGCAGACCTCTCTAATTGTATGAGCACCTTCGCAGCTAATTTCCAGTGCTGCATCAGCTTATACACCTACATTTCAGGCCGACTTCGAGGCGGTGTCTCAGGCTGGAGGTTTCTTCTCGGCTGTGGACGTGCCCTCGCAGGCCTCAGGGTCGGCCGGTTTCACAGGCCGTACTATAGGGGACTGGACGGCCAGCTACCACGGCCTCAGCCAGGGCGGCCAGCTCAGGGTCAAGTGGTCAGCGCTGACCTGTAGCACCTGAACGCCGGCGGCGCCTCGTGGACAGGTCAATGTCCGCCCCTGATGGTCCTTGATCAGTGATTACGCAGATAAAGCATCTCTGTGACTATGACGCCAACAAGCTTCTGATTTGTATCATTGAGAGACTTTTTGGCTTCGTTGGCCCTGATTTGTCGTTATTTTTCATGAGTAAACGGTTTCCATAGTTCTTTATATTGTCATGTGTAGTGAATTAGAAATATTTTATGATTGCTTTCTCAAGTTTCCCGTTTGAACAATTTATTTCTATGAAATATTTTGATGTAATTTTCGTAGATGCAATGGCATCAACATGCTATTTTAGATTGCACATGAACGCCTCGCACATGAATCAATAAACGTTTATGAGCATATTTCAGGCTCACACCTCACAACGCTCCAGGTTGACGGATATAGTGCTAACTGCCCTATGTAACAAAAACACAGGCTTCTTTATGTAATCCTACATGCTTATCTTTTTATATGAGTAAGTTTTGGGATGCATTAATCACTTGATTACTTGACTTCATCGCCAAGCAGAGGCGGATCCAGCTCAGAGTTTTTTTTTTGGGGGGGGGGGGGCAAACCATAACAATTTATCGATTCTTTCCATGCATCGTCCATAGGCGTAATGTTAAAATTATGCCGTTTGGGGGGGGGGGCAAATGCCCATTTTGCCCCCACCCCCCTGGATCCGCCACTGTCACCAAAAAGGTGGTGCCACTTGTTAATCAGTTGAATGCACCGTTCAGTTATGCAAGTTCCGTGTAGAAGATGCAGCGGTTTATGTTGTCTACATTGCATTACGGCTGGCGTGCTCCCGTATGCACGCGTGCATATATCCAACACTGAACGTATCGGTAACGCAATAAACACGACGCAGCAACAGCCGTAGCGTCCATCGCCGGTACATACTACGTGCTTGTGGAACCGGACGCGACTTTCTGCGTGCTATCCTCCCGCGTGGTCTAGTCATGTCCCCCTCCCCGTGCTCCCCTCTGGCCTCTCCACCCCCACCCCCCCGGCCGGTGGGGGCGGTCACGGCCGGTCCTAAAGTGACGAGCGGCCGGCTGGTGGATTCCCACCCTGCAGTAGCGTGACTGGACGGCCGGGCTGGGGCTCGCGGTGCCGCCGGGTGCAGAACTGCAGACTGCTGTTGTTGGGCAGAGCTTTATCGGTGGGTGGAACTCATGACAAATCCTTACCCCGCGCCCCGTTGGGCTCTGCCGAGCAACGCGCCCTGTTGGGGGGGGGGGGGGGGCATTTGGCCCCCCCTAAGATCTCGAGAACCACGCAACCTAGCGACAAGCGGTAAACGGTGTTGGATAGCCCTATCAGGGAACTACCTTGTGACCCAATTTTATTGACCTAGGTCAAACCGATGACGTCACAGGTCAGGTCAAAGGTCCAATTTTCACCGTTTACAGGCATTTCAAGAAATGCGTTGTAAAATCGAGTAAAATGCATTTCATTGAAAATCATCGATGGGGAAATGTTCTTTAAACACATATTTTGCTATTTGAGGTTTATGATACCAGGTCAGGTCACAGAGGTCAGGTCACGGGGGGGGGGGGGGGGTCACAATATGAAAGTGTCGTGTGATACATGTTTTATGGTCCATTTTACATGATAAATGCGATTATGTGGGTCAGGTAGCCTTTGGGGCCAGCTTAGGTCACGTTTTGGTCAAGGTCAGGTCAAGGTCAGGTCAAGGTCAGGTCAAATTAGGTCAAATTTCAAAATTATTATTTTTGCATAAAATGGGTATTGAATCGATGCAGCTCGTCACGGGGAGTTCAATGGTGGTCTTTGTTTTGCTGTACGTGGTCTAGAATCGCTAAAAAATTGAGTTCAAAATTTGACGTCATCATTTTTGAACAATTTTTTCGCTATAACTTGGCCAAAAAACGAGATATCGATCTGAAATTTGGTATGTATATAGAAGAGCGCAGGGACTATCACATATATTCCGTTTTTTTTCGAAATTCGGAAAAATGTTGGATTTTTTTTAGTGATTCTAAAAAAATCAATTTTTTGAGTTTTTTTTTTAGTCAAAAACCCAAAATTTTGATAATCCGAGATAGCAGTTTTGTAGCGCCGTTTTTTGTCTACTAGACCATATAAATAACTTTGAAATTGCTTGATAACTGTAGATTTGGTGAGCGTTTCAAGATTGCATGTTTTTTGCTCATTTTTGCTCGAACATGACCTCAGTTTGACCTCAATAACTCCTGACCTAAAGTGACCTAAGACTTGAAATTTGGTGTGAAGGTGTCAAATTGATGCCCGGGAAGGTACTGAAAATTTGGCCGGCGCTGCGCGCCGCCGTTTTCTTGCTATTCAGGAAAAACCACAGGGGGGGGGGGGGCAAAATGGCCCCCCCAACGGGGCGAGGGTTACTGGTGATGGTAGCTTGGATAAACGAACCACACTTCTTCGTAGTCTTTTACTTGCTGTCACCGCATGTGGGTTCAAACACAAGAATAGTAATTATTAATTTGATTTGAAGCTTGCATACATACGAATAGTCTTACATATAAATTAAATGTATTTCATCACTCTGCTGGGACACTATAAATGGGATGTTAGTAATCACAAGCGGCTGCTTTATGCACTGTTGCACAGACGGATAGGAGCCAGACGTCGCCATACAGCGATGCTTCCGAAACAGGTCACCAGGTTTCAGCGTTCAGCGTAACTCGGGCCTCGTGTGATGTAATGTAAAGGGCGTACCCAAGTCCTCCCGGGTAAGATTGTTTCACTCCAGCGCGCTTTCCGAGTAGGGAGAGCATTGACCGGGACCAGAGTAGAGAGGAAACCGCACACACGCTGGATTACGATGGGTTCATGTCGCTGACCCCTGATCCGCGGCGCATTTAGGTCTGACAGATGAAATGTCACCGAGTCACCAGATTCACCGGGTCAGTGAAAAATGGCGTCACCGAGCCGCCACAAGGTATCGGTCATGTCGCCGAGCCTGTGCGTCGCGAGCTGACGGGCTAGACATGCTGTGGTATTGCGGTGGTGGTCTGAATTTTCGATGGAAGGACAGCCCTATCAGGGACATGAATCACGATGGTGAGCTGTTGACTGCGCCGTGGTACATACCCCGCGCCAGCGCAGCAATATTCTACGATATACCGTGCGTGCGCGCACGATAGAAACGCAAATGCACCACTCATGTGTTATTTCATAACGTCGTTAATGGTATTTATATGAAACGGATCAACATGTAGCTGCAGAAGACATGAATAAAATAACACATGCATTGCTATGAGGTTACACACAAACATGCTCTGCTTCATTTTCGTCGAAAGCTGTCTGAACACTCTCCCGCGCTAAAGTTAGGAGCGAATTTCTATGAACATTGAGCTCGAGCTTTTCACGAGAGTGACAAGAACATGGTTTGCTACCTTTGATGTAGTTGGTATTTGCTGCGATTTCAATGATGAAGCAAGCGCCGCTAAACATTAAGAGTAATCTCAAACGTAATCATAGTACGAAACGCGTCATGATGATCATATGCAATACGTTCATTAGAATGTCATCTCACATGTCACACATCTCCTCATGGCTAACGCAGTACGCACACCCATCTCCTAAGCACATGTTCTACACTTCCCCCGCTCTGTTGCACACACATCACTTATATCACCTGTGGGACCGGACCACAGGGTTGGCACATTGGGTTAGGGCACGGCCGCCTTCCGTCTCGCAAACTCAGTCCAAGCGGTTAGGTCTGGTCGAACCCAGTTTGCTCCGACACTGGCGGCGGCGGACTGTCCCCTGTCGTCCGGCGAGTGCCCCGCTCTGTCTGGGTCCTTTGTCCTCATTCTGGGGACGCTGTCCACCAGTGACACGGCCAGCCGCTGAGGGCAGAGATTAGCTCGCTGCCTCCGAGCTCTCAGTGCCGCGGCTCGGCACACAGGTGTGTGCTGCCGCAGCAAGCTCACTAGTGCTGGCTCGCAGCACGGCTGGCTCAGAAGCCCGGGTGTGCCGGTCACGCTGAGCTCAGTAGCGCTGGCTCATGAGCACGAGAGTACCGTTCGCTCTGAGCTCAGTAGCGCGGCGTGGTGTTGTAGCCGCGCTGGTCGCGGTACTGGCTGCCGGTCTCGGAGCGCGGTGGCCTCGGCACCGAGCGGTGCGAGCGCGGCTCCGAGTACCGGCTCCCCGGCCGAGAGTGCACCATCGCGTAGTGGTCCGAGTTGGTAGTCGACACTGAGCGCGCAGAGTTCATCGTCGACGCGCCGTAGTTGTCGTAGCCGTGGTTCGACTTGCCGTTCAGCGAGTACCTGAAGAAAACGGAGAGAAATTGAGTTAGAAAAATTGGTGACAACAAATGAGGGTTGAAAGACATGTCAGTCTCCAAGGTTTGTGGTAAGACTGGAGGCAAGCAAACAATTAATTATAAAAATAGGACAATAAGAATGAAATTACTCTTGAAATCTAATAACTTAGATTTCGGGGCATCTTCGTGAGCGGTTATACTGTACCTATCGTTAGAAATGAGGTAGACATAAGCGTAGCGGGTGTTATTCTAGTGTTCGAGCGTTGGGGTCACACGGTTTGTTATTGTCATATGGTGCGTTGCAGTCACCGTGCTTCCATCAGTGCCATCTTAGCGAGAATTTCGTCTACAAATCACGCGCTGTTGCGTGCTGCAAAGTAGTCCCATGCGGAAGAGCTACCACTTGTCTGCAATAACTCATAGAATGCCGGCTGCTTTAAAAATCACGCCACGCCACGCGGCATTCCTGTGGCATAACATTACATTGTTCTCAGCGAGCGAGAATGAAGAATCATGTCACCGGCAAACAAGACAAAGCGACGTCAACCTTTTTTGATGTGGTGAATTAGTCTGCTCCACCTGCGCAGATTCAACAATGATTCGAGACTGTCTTTGTTCAAATGACGTCATAGTTTCTCAGTAAAAACCTCCACCGTCGGCTGCAGCCCATAGTCAGTCGGCGTCCGTGCCTGTTGGCCACATGTGCCCCCTCCCCGCGGCGACTGCCGAGCCCCAACGCCGCCTATCGCTGCGCGCCGGCCCCGACTCGGCAGTGTTCGTGACTGATAACAGCCCCGCCCGCCCTCGACGGCGCCGCCCGCGCCGGCTTCAGACTCAGCTCGACATAAAAAGTCAGAGGTGCGGCCACAGGAATTTTAAGATGAAAACTTTCCGCCACGCAAAGCGCCTCACGGAGCATGCAGCCGAAGGAGATGTGATGATTTTCAGAAGCAGTTAAATCATAAAAAATTGTT